CTATAAGAATCAAGGTTGTGTTTAAGCATTCAGAAAAAACTGTAACTTAGCATGGAGTGATGCATAGACAAATACCAGAATAGGTTTCAGTACCTTTTCTTTTTTATTATTTTAAATAATTTATTACACACTCAAAGTTAGGACTGTGTAAAAACACTTTTAACCATCTGTAAGGACACTTAGGTAAAGTATAACTAAAAAACTGGATTGAATCAATGAATGAATTTATTTCAGACAATTAACAAATTTAACACACATTAAACAAATATTAAATAAATCAATTTCAGAAATTACCAAATAACAATAAAAAATAATAAATTTAAGAAATTCTTCAACCAAGGACTACATAAAAAAGTAATTGATAAACATTAAATTAAATTTTCTGTTCCAGTTCAATTAAATCATTTGAACATAAATAGAAATGAGATAAACAAAATTTTCCTCTAAATAAAATATATCAGGTACATTTAGCCTGATTTCTGACATTGATTAGTGATTAAAGAAAGGATTAACCCTCTACAAACAAAAGTGCTTTTATGAATACCATTACAAAATTAAAAGTTTGAAGTTCTTGTAGTTCTATCTATCAGTTGTTTCAGGTATTTCTATTCACCTTCAAAATTGGTGCAGCATTAAAATTTGACTCGTCTGGACTTCCTAATGGCAAATTCGTTGATGGTATCATCAAATGAGATTTTATTTGAGACCTCTTGGTTGATGCTCATCAGTGCAAGCCCATTTTGATGATTATTTGTACATCCCTTTTGAATACTCAATGCAGTAATCACTACAAAATATTTTATTTATATTAGTATCTTCTACCCATTCTCAAGCTAATAATATAGCACATAATTCTGCTGCATATATACTGAGAAAAAAATGCTGTCAACATACAAAAAAAATGTTTGAACTGTTAAAAGAAAAAATTTGTCCTACCATTCATCTAATCTCCAGGTGTTATGCCCAAAAGTGCTTGCCTGCCGAAATATGCATCCCCAGTCGCGGGAGCGCGCCTCGCTCTGTTGAACTGCATATTGACGAGGAAAACGGATTAAAATATGTTCAAACGAGCTTAGGTTCTTATCATAATGATATAAAAACGTTTAAAAATACCTCTCGTGGGAAAAAAGTTGTGGTTATTTGGCAGATTAATTTACAAAAGTACGGATTTTTTGAACAACATTAAATCCAAAGATTTTGACCATGGTACGGCTGATTTATTTGTTGTGGTCTCTTGCTATTTACACACAACACTAAACCGTGATAGCCGACGTGAGTTTGGAGTTTGCAAAGCTTTCTCTTAAGTGGAAAATCAAACGCGCATCTACACAGCACAGCGTTCCCAGACCAGTGAGATGCATAAACAAACAAAAAAATAAAAATACAATACAGTTCAGTAAAATACAGTTCTGTTTTATGCCTCATTCTTGTAAGTTTAAAATGTTCCAATGCTCCTGAATGCACCATAGCTTTCTGACGCGCAGCGAACGCATCTCACTGGTCTGTGAACGCTGTGCTGTGTAGATGCGCGTTTGATTTTCCACTTAAGAGAAAGCTTTGCAAACTCAAAACTCACGTCGGCTATCACGGTTTAGTGTTGTGTGTAAATAACAAGAGACCACAACAAATAAATCAGCCGTACCATGGTCAAAATCTTTGGATTTAATGTTGTTCAAAAAATCCGTACTTTTGTAAATTAATCTGCCAAATAACCACAACTTTTTTCCGACGAGAGGTATTTTTAAACGTTTTTATATCATTAATATAAGAACCTAAGCTCCATTGAACATATTTTAATCCGTTTTCCTCGTCGATATGCAGTTCAACAGAGCGAGGCGCGCTCCCGCGACTGGGGATGCATATTTCGGCAGGCATGCACTTTTGGTCATAACACCTGTTGACTTCCAATCTCCACTCATTGTCCGACTCGCTGTTGTTCGTCCGCTGCCTTCTCTTCATCTGAAACATCTGGGTCGAACATGTGAGGCTCCAGACACAAATATTCTTCCTCCGATACATCAGAATGGTCTCCTGGTAGGAATCGCTCGGTTGAAGTCGAAATTTTGCTTTCAGATTTCTCGTTTTGGCTATCGCATTTAGTGCAGTAGATCGCCATGAACGCTCCCGTTCTGAAGTCACGACTTCCGGGTTGGAGGGCGCTTGAAAAGTGATCAGAATCTTTTCCGATTTTCTCTTAAATGTGAAAAAATAAATAAAAAAACGGTGGTATATTTATTTGTTGCTATTTATATATACGTAAGGTTAAGTCAAACTGACGGACGCTTCATAACCGGTTTAATTCGCTTTTTTTTCTAATGGGCTCTATGCACAGCTCCACTACTTCCTGAATTTAAGGCAGCTCCTTTGTTTCCTGTCTTTCATTACTGGACGAACTGATTAATCCAGGTTTGTCTGGCCAGTTACTTAGGTCATACACACCTGGATTAATCAGTACATCCAATCATGAAAGACAGGAAACAAAGGAGCTGCCTTAAATTCAGGAAGTAGTGGAGCTGTGCATAGAGCCTATTCTATGATTAATGGGAAGTAAGCCTAAGGGCGACGCTAGAGGGCGCCCCCAACACATTTGTCACCCTAGGCAATTGCCTATCTCGCCTATAGCAATCGCCGGCCCTGCCTGGATGAATAGGCGAGATGTTCTGTCCCCCTATATGGGGGTTGAGATGATAGCGGGAAGGAATCAACTCCATCGCTGAATTGCAGGTTTTTATAAGCTGAAATCTGAGCCCCCCCCCCCCACACACACACTCTGTTTAAGGTTGTTTTTTCTTTAACATAGATGGCTTCCTTCACGCCCCTCTCAAACCACCTGCCTTCTTTGTCCAAACGTGAACATTCTGGTCCTCCAAAGAATGTCCTTTGTCCATCAGGTGTAGATGTACTGCAGAGTCTTGTCCAGAGGAGGGCGCGCTTCTGCGTTAGGCCTTTCGTCTGTGTAGAGGTTGTTTGGTTTCTCCAATATAAAGATCAGAGCATTCCTCACTTAATCCTAAAGACACCACGTCTTTAGGATGAACTAGTCTCTGTTTCAGGGTCTGTTTGGTTTGAAATTGTTTGAAATTTGGAGAAAATCCTCTTGATTTTTTCAGAGTCTCCAGCAACATATGGGGTGGAGATGTTTATGCATTTAATCTTCTCACCGTTATGTTCTGCTGCTTGTCTGTTAGATTTCCTGGCTGATTTTAAATGTGACTAAAGGCAAAGCGGAGGAGAACTACTGAGACACAAGCCTGGAAATAAGAATTTCAAGGTTTTTCACAGCAGGAAGGTTTTAATCTGGTGAAGAATTGGTGAATTGATATTAATACTTGACATTTATTAAAGAGCTTTATAAAAGCATCTCTCATGGGACACGCATTTCTTGACCATGTAGCTAAACTGGTGTTGATTGATGGTTGTAATGTCTGCATTTCTTCATGTTTAGTTTCTTAGAGAACTAGATTATCTGTAAATGTGAGGATTTGCTGCCACTGTTTGCATATTGCTCATTTTGCTTTGTGGCATTAAGGTAAGAGTGTTGCTGCTTGCGTCTCGTTGGCGTGTTTGCAGATAGTCTGACGAGCTGCCGAGCTGCTCGCCAACTGTTTTAAGCATCTGCTTCTCTTCCCCTTCCTGGAGGCATGAATTATCTGTTTATTTATTCAACAGTAGCGTTATTCTGGCAGCAGAGCCGCATTATGCAGGCAGCCCTCCTGCTGTTTACCAAAACCCGTCTTGCTTTTTATGGCTGTGCTGACTCGTAAACCTTCTGGGGCAAACTGTCGACCGAGTCGGCCGCCTTGGGACATGCTTACACATTAATAGAGAGATAAAGAGCTGCTTTCAGTTAAAGCTTGAACTGTGCCACCAGCAAACATTACACATGGAATGATAACCTACAGGTTTTTGTTTGGGGGGAATCATTTATTTTTTCTATAAACTACAGTCCGTTCCTCCAGGAACACACAAGAGAGTGCAATCACTGTTCTTATCAGGATCAGCACTGTCTTTACTGACTAATTCATCATTTACTCTAAACTTAAGTCCAGTCACAATCAGATATCCCTATCCACACTCTCACTTTATCTCTAAAGTCATCATTAAAATCCTTTCATTTAAATGATCTGTCATTCCAATGTTTATTCAGCAGATTGTTTCAGGTTCAACCTTTCAATGCTTGGCAGTTGAAAGGTATCTGTAACAGAATGTATTCAGCCTGAACGTCCTAATGATGGATCAGCTCATTATTTTGTGCATATAAGCACAAATCACCGTCACTAATATGGATTAATATCATGTAAGGATCTACAGTGAAGCTGTAAAGAAACCTATAGATGTTTAGAAAACATTTAACATTCAATTCATGGATAATCTAAAGAATACTTTGAAACTATTTTAAAATAAGTTTAGTTTTTTTTTTTTCCTAAAAGTAAACTGTATTTGTAGTTTACTTGTATCCTCTCTCCACTGAAAGTGATAAAAGTTCTTCAATCTCTAAGAATAACCAGCTTAGCGCTGATTCCCCCTTTAAAATCCCCTCGTCAGACTTAGTAGCTTTGAATGTCAGTGTATGAAAGGAACGTCATTCACATGAGGACCCTTGCATGTTCTACGTGTCTGAAAACATGTGTGTGTGAATCTATGTGCGTGGATCTATGTGTGAGAAACTTGTCAGGACCCATCCTGGTCTTGGAAGAGAAAGTGTCTCTTTTGGAGCATTGATCCTCTCTAACTTGCAAAATAGTTCACAGTTAAAGGAATAGTACACCCAAAAAATGATTAGCCTTCATTTTCTACTCACCCCCATGCTGAACAACACCCTGGAGTACTTTTTTGTACTATTCCTTTAAGAGAAGTCCATCAGGTTACCCTCTGTTACCATGGATATTTATTGATTCACTTCTTGGGAATCACATTCAGTCGGAGGATATATCTGAGTAGATCTGTTAAATGTTAAAGCTGTCTTCATGAAACTGATCAGATCATCTCTCTCCTTTCAGGTGTCCAGAGAGTCTCCGTCCAGACACTGTAAGACCGTGTTTGCTTCCCTGCAAAAGAGACTGCATGGTTACACCGTACAGTGACTGGAGCTCCTGCCCACCGACTTGTCAGAAAGGTAGTCAGACCAAAAAGTGCTTCACACGCTGCTACTAGAGCCAGACTCATCGGGTTCAACACAACAAGGAAAAGTCCGCTCAGCCAGGAATAATCAATGGATCATTATTTATACCTAAAACTAAAACATTCGCTGGGATTTAAAGATTTTAGCGTTAATCAGGTGAAAAAAAAGAAGCGGCCATTTTTGCCCAAATATAGTAGCCCCTCCCTCCTGCCATCTTCCAGCAGTGACGTCACGGTGCGGTAAGCCTAGCGCCATTCTCCCCGCTTTACATGCTAAATCAATGGGAACTACTAGACACATCTGCAATCAACAACAATTATTGAAGATTTCCAGAGGACTTCACCATTGAAATTCACCAGAGCTATAGTGAAACTGACAATGCCCACGTGCATGGCAGCTGGATGCTGGAATACATCGGGTAAAAGTGAAAAAAAAAGAGTTATTCCACCTTTCTGATTCCTGATCCTCCACGGACGGGTTGGTCGTTGGATCGCCAACTTGAAGAGGGAGGATTTGCCATCGAACTTCTGGCCAGGGAAAAAAACCGTAATATGTAGCCAACATTTGGAAGAAGAATGTTTTCAAGATGACTTGGATAATAGCGCGTTGTGACAAACACCAGATACAGCACTGGGACTTGATCAACAGCCGATACCGCACCGTGACGTCACTAACCAGTAGGTGGCAGTAGTGTTCTTTGACAAACATGGATGCCTCCAGTAAAGCACATTCACATGAAAATTACTCTGAATTAAAAACACTGATCATTTATTGAACAGGATGGAATCATTTCAAATTTAAAGAACTTTCAGAAGTTTGAATTCTGAATAGGGTTGGGAATTGAAAAGATTTTCACGATTCCGATTCCCTTTTCGATTCTATGAAACGATTCGATTCTTTATCGATTCTTTTTTCGATTCCAATTTGGGGAAAAAAGGAGAACAAACAGTTTGATTATCAGCATCAACTGTGTTTACTTAACTATTGCACAATCTTACAAAATCAACAAGATCAAGATGTCCACAGGAAATGTGAAACTGGAGTAACATCTGTGTTTAAATGAAAAATTAATACAAGAACAAACTTAATAACCAACAATGTCTAATAACAAATTATGGGATAATAACCTATTTTAAATAACAAAAAATACTAATTATAAAACAGTAGTAGGGAAAATTAACAGTTATTTTGCAGAAAGATGAGCATATCTGCTTTTTCTGGAAGGATACGGGATCTTTCAGGGCTTATGGTGTCTCCAGCCATGGAGGACACCCTCTCAGATGGGGTGGAGGAAGCCTGCACACAGAGGTAGTTTTCAGCCAGTCCAGATAGCAAGGGCAGCGTATCTTGCTTGTTCCACCACCACAGTGTGGCGCTATCCCTGCAGGGGATGGAGGGCAAGCTTTTATAGAGCTGGATTTCCTGATCTACCCTCTGGGCTAAGGAAAGACGGGGCTTTGATTTACAAAGTGACCGCAGCTCGTTGTCTTCCTCCTCGAATAGTTCTTCCAACTTGCGTAACTTGCGTAACTTACGTAACTTACGTAACGTACGTAAAAAAACGTGACGTAAGTCGTGCTCCCCAGAGCCGGCGCTCTAGGCTCTGGTGCTGCGGGAATCGAAAAAAGAATCGTTCAGCGAGCTGCCAAACGATGCCATGGAATCGGAAAATACGGAACCGGTTCTGAACAGGAACCGGTTTTCGATTCCCATCCCTAATTCTGAATATGAGCGACTTTTCCTTTAAAGTCTAAAACCTACAGAATCATTGGATAGCAACTACAATGCACCACGTTAACTACACCTAGTCTTTATTATGAGGTTCCTCGTCACACTGAATCTCCTGTTTTGCCCATTAAATCTTCATTTGTTATTATAACTTTACATGTGCTGTAGAACAGCATTACATTTCTCCCCTGCATTTACAGTAACTCCCAGTCAATACTATAGAGTTATAGAGTATTTTAATCCATCAGCCTCTGTGGATATTATGAAGAGCCAGGACTCTGTTTTTATGTTAACTGCCATTAGATGTTCTGGCTCCCCTCACTATTAACAGCACGACAAAAGATGAGGGAGGTATTATATACAATATGTGCCTAAAGCACCCTGGCAGTGTGTAGTCACTCAGGCTACGTTCACACTGCAGGCATTAATGCTCAATTTTCATTTTTTGTGAAATCTGATCTGGTTGTTTCACATATCCAAATATATGTGATCTCCTTTGTGAACTGTGTCACTATCCAATCTGTACCGGAAGCACGATCCGTACCATCCGCTCATCTACACAACCAGATATACATCCAGGTCGCCCTTGATTTTACTTTGTAAAAATACCTACATTACTTTTTTTCCCTCCCTAAAAATAAAATGCATACTAAATTATAATTTGTTAAAGGTTAATATTGTATTTCCTGAGAAAAAAATGCCTTAAAATCTGTTTTATCACTTGTTTGTGTCCGATCTGTACAGGAAATTACATCCTATGCTACTTCCAGGAGCTAAATTTTACGGCTTTGGATTTAAACATACATGTAGTCTTTTTGAGTTTTATTTTTTTCCTTTCGTGTTTAAATTATGATATATTGCATAATCTAAAGAAAGAAACAACAAGAATGCAGATAAACATGGTTTAATAATATTTAGCCAGACTTCTCGGATCATTTCTCAGAGAAGCGGTTTAATGGAGAAAAGGTAAAAAGTATCAAATTGTCTCAGAAAAGTCAAAAAATTTTTTAAAGATGTGTATTAGCATTCTTTATTGATCTAGGGATAGAAATAAGTACTTTTAATTACATTATTCATAGCAACCTGGATGAATATCTGCTGTGCAGATGTGCAAATGAGCTGATGGTACGGATCGGGTATTGACCAACTGCATTCATACAGTTTGTCTGTGCTGCATGTGCAGTAGAGAACGCAATGACATCACAAGGAGCAAGCGTGCCTTGTGCTTACGGAAGTAAACATGGATGGTAGTGCTGGAGTGCATCTAGCGATCTCTCATTTCTTCCCCAACCTCAGCCAGAGCATTAATAACTCCATCTATTCAATAAGGTTGAAAATAAAGACTGCCCTCTGCATCATCATCCGCCATGGTTGTTGGTTTTCTCCCTGCTTCTGTGCACCAAGATGCAAAACAATGACCTTTGTTGAGTATTAAAGGTATAGAGGACGATCTTTTATTTCTGGGTGGATCATCTAAATAAGTGGTAACTGTCAATCATTCTGGTGATGTGTTACGTAAGGCCGTCCTACGTGCTCGTCCCGTTAGCTATCTTTTTCTGCGCACTTTCAGGCATGTATCTGTGGTGAGCTAAGGTTTCAGACAGTCCTTGAAGCTCACCTTTTTCACCGCGATTCTTTGAAAATGGCCGAGGGTTGGAAGAGAAAAGTTGTCTACGAAGTTTATGAGAAGAAAAAAAAGGCCTCAGAGGCAGAAATATCCCAGAATGCTTTGCAAGGAGAGCTCTGGGATTTGCTGTCACAGTGGCCTAATCAAAAAGATGGCACAGGCACCGTGCAGTGGAGGAGGAGTTACGTGACCAACGGAGCAAAAAGTAATGATTATCTGTGTGTATGGTCAGTTAACTGACTGTCTTTTAAAAATATCCTCTGCACTACCTTTAATGACGTTCAGGTCTGATGAATGCGACCTGGCCGTTCAGACACAGGTTGCATTTGAAAAGATCAGATTTATATCGGATTCAGGAAAATATCAGATCCAGATCACATATGAGCAAAAGAATCACTTCAGGCTGCTGTGTAAACGTAGCAAGTGACCTGTTAGGGTTGTTAAGTTTCCCCAACTTTAACCTATAAAGAATGAAACAAAGACAGTGTAAGATTTTTCCTGACCGTGCTCTGCAAAGCAGAAGATATACAGAGCTTTAGGATTACTCTGTGCATCTTCGTCTTGCTCTACGCTTGCAGGCTTATTTATTGAACAGTCAACACATTACAACAGCAGGCGTTAGTTTCGATTACGCAGTCTCTTAGACATAGCATGAACTTTTAAGATAGGGAACTTGTCTGGTTTCAGTATACGCTTTTAAAAAAGGTGTCAGGGTTCATGAACCTTTAACTTCTGTGGTTCTTAAATGAAAAACAAGAACTTCTGTGTTTCTCAAATGAAAAACAGGAAAGCATTCTCGCAAAACATTTGACCGTCTTATGACCTGCATACAGTATTTCCACTGATGAGAGTAACATAGCAAAACAAATGATTAAAAACAATATAAAAGATATAAATGAACAAAATTATAAAAAACAACAGAAATCATAAAACAAAAGATATCATAATAACTCAAACAGACCCAAATCCAATTCTTTTCCCTTCTTCCTCTGGCTTGTGACGTCATTGCATCCGCTACTGCACATGAGGGACACTTGTGCTGTAAGCATGCAGTTCACAATGTGAACGGCAATGCAAATAAAAATCGGATTTCACAAAAAAAAGAATCGAAATTGAGCATTTAGGCCTGCAGTGTGAACGTAGCCTTACTCATCCATGAACACACATGTCCCAAAGGGCCTGTAGTGCTGCACCGTCATTACATTACATTATATATATATATATATATATATATATATATATATATATATATATATATATATATATATAAATTTATAAATATACACAGCCTAAGGTTCATTATATATGCTTTTCATATTAAAGTGTTGCTCTGTGTTTTTTTTCTAGGTAGTAAAGCTAAAAGTAAACAACACAGGAAGCGACTGATCATCCAGTTACCTGCTAATGGAGGACAAGACTGTCCTGAAATCATGACCCAAGAAAGAGAATGTGAATCAATGTCTCTTTGTCAAGGATACAGGTATATTCTCTGACAGACATAAAGTATTCAACCCCTTGAGCTTTTTGCCTTTTGCCTCATTTCCCATTTCAAACATAAAGATAGAAAGTTGTATTTTTTTTTGTGAAGAATCAACAACCAGTGGGACACATCATCAAGTGGAAACAAATTTATTGGATATTTTAAACTTTTTAACAGATTAAAAACTGAAGAGTTGGGTGTGCAAAAGTAATGGGCTCCTTTAGTTTCAGTGCATCAAACTCTCTCCAGAAGTTCAGTGAGGATCTCTGAATGATCACTGTTGACCTAAACGACTGATGATGATCAGTAGAATCCACCATCTGTATAAATGCTGCTGCTCTGTGATCGTCTCAGAGGTCTGTTTAAGGCGCAGAGAGCATCGTGAAGAACAAGGAACACACCAGGCAGGTCCCAAATGCTGTAGAGGAGAAGTTTAAAGCCAGATTCGGATAGAGAAAGATTTCCCAGCTTTAAACATTCAAAGGAAAACTGAGCAGCGATAATATTAAAACAGAAGGAGTATCAGACCACTGGGAATCTACAGAGACCCGGCCGTCCATCTAAACTTTCAGCTCAAACAATTCAATTCAGTTTATTTCTATAGCGCCAATCCACAACACGTCATCTCAAGGTAATTTACAGTTCTCCAGTCAGACTGATTCAATGTTTTCTAATGAAAACCAGCTGATTGCATCGACTCATTGACTCGAATGCAATCCCTCACACTAAGCATGATTGTAGCGACAGTGGAGAGGAAAAACTCCCTTTGAACAGGAAGAAACCTCCAGCAGAACCAGGCTCAGTGTGAGCGGCCATCTGCCGAGGCCGACTGGGGTTCAAGGAGACAGAAGCAGACATAGAAAAAGAAGCATAGATACAAAAGGCAACTGTCAACCAGCTCCACAGGCGGCCCCGTCCAGGAAACACACAGCCAGGCAGACGAGCTCCGAGCCAGCTCCCATGTCAGAGGATGAAGAGAGCACATCCAGTTAGTCACAGTCAGAGAAACAGGACTACACTGGAAAACAGGCAGATACTCAACATCTATAAACATCAACAAGGAGTAAACTGATCAGAGATGCAGCCCAGAGGCCCATGATCCCTCTGGATGAACTAAAGAGATCCACAGCTGAGGATGGAGAATCAGTCGTATGCTGCACACATTTGGCCTTTATGGAAGGAAGACGATTCTGAAAAATATCCATTAAAAGTCTGGTTTCAGGTTTTGCACAAGTCACCTTGGAGACACAGCAAACGTGGAAGAAGGAGCTCTGGTCGTCATCACCCTGAACACACCATCCCCACTGTCAAACATGGTGGTGGCAGCGTCATGGTGTTGGCCTGCTTTTCTTCAGCAGGGACAGGAAAGATGGTTGAAATTGATGAGAAGATGGATGGAGCCAAATACAGGAGCATTCTGGAAGAAAACCAAATCACAAATAATCATATCCAGGGGTTAGAATGGCCTAGTTAAAGTCCAGACCTGAAAACATAATTTAGCTCCTGCTGTTTGAAGGAAGAATGGGTCAAAATGTCCCTCGATGAGCAGAACTGATAGAGACAAACCCCAAAGAAATCTGCAGCTCTGATCGCAGCAAAAGGTGGTGCTACAAAGTATCAACTCAAAGGGCAGTTCTTTTATTTGTTAAAAAAAAATTTACTTACAAAATCATTTCATGATTGTGTCCTACTTGCTATTGATTATTCACAAAGAATCAGAATTTCCTATCTTTATTTCTGAAACCTGAAATGTGGCAAAAGGTGGAAAAGTTCAAGGTGGGTGAATACTTTTGTACTTTCCTCTTCTTTGTTAGATGAGTCATCAGTGACCCAGCTTGTATGTTGTAGAACATAATGAAGAGTATTGATGTGTAGTAACTGATCTGCGTAGCTTTCCTCCGATGGTTTCATGATATCAGATCATGTTACGTCACAGAGGCAGACAGCAGCCAGAGGAGCCAATACTGGAAACATCAACAGCCGGACGAAGCCACTCTTATTGCTCACATTAACTCAGAGAATACGATGGTAACATTTTACAAAACCAGCATTTACAAATGGTTAATAGCCCATTTATAAGGGAGTGGTGGCCTAGTGGCTAGGGCATAGAGCCTGGAATATAGAACTTCTGAGTTTAAGCCCCACTCCCACAGACTGCCACTCTGGGTCCCTGAGCAAGACCCATAACCCCACACTGCTCCCTGGGTGCTGCACAATGGGAGCTAGTTGCTCTATACTTGTGACAGTGGAATGACAATAAAAAAAAATAAAAAGAAAACAAAAACAAAAAAAGATTAATGATGAACAGAGATTTTACCAATGTTTGACAATCATTTATAAACAGCATCTGAACCATTTATAAAGAGTAAGCAGATCAAATTCCCCATAACGCTAACATCAGTAGACCTAAGATCTGAAACTGACCTTTATTTTTTATTTAATTCGTTAATAATACCGCCTATAAAGTTTAAGATGTTGTTTCTAACTGAATCAAACATTAATCAACTGTAATCTGTAAATCATTTATAATGTTTTGATGGTTATTGTAAAGTGTAACCAATAAAACATTTATCTGCTTCCTTCTATTCTTTAACTTTCCTCCTCGGCAGATGGAAAACCCATAAGTGGCGAAGATGTCAGCTGGTCCCGTGGTCCGTACGACAGAACGCGCCTGGAGCTCAGGAGACCTGTGGACCAGGCTTACAGTTCCGCGGTGAGCACAGCTGCACACAACAAAATATTTACATCCTCTGCAGCTAACCAGCAGCTAACCAGCAGCTAACCAGCAGTTAACCAGCAGTTAACCAGCAGCTCACCAGCAGCTCATCAGCAGTTAACCAGCAGTTAACCAGCAGCTAACCAGCAGTTAACCAGCAGCTCATCAGCAGTTAACCAGCAGCTAACCAGCAGCTCACCAGCAGCTAACCAGCAGCCAACCAGCTGACAGAAACAGGGGATCATTCTTACGAATAGTTTTCAGGATCTATATCAGTCCTTTAATCCATTGTTCAGTTTTATTTTTGCATTTATATTTCTGTAACCATTCTGTTTGATTACTTTCTATAATATAAATCCTGCTTTTTACGACTTTAAGTCTTGCAAACTTTAATTATTTAACGTTACATTTGAGAACAGATAAACATTTCATGTAGAATATAGACCCAGATGATTCCTGTTCAGGTTTAGTGGTATTAATGAGGTTTTCTTTAATTCAATAAAAACTCAAATGTGATGTTAAAAAGCACAGAAATGTATGTTGATCGAATGGTTGATAGATTAAGAATGTTTTACATGAATTAAATAATATAATATGTGAAAAATAAAAGCAGCATAAAAGCAAGTAAAGAAAAAACCTGATAAAATAAAATCTAAATATTCTTTAGTTTATATTTGATGATATAAACAGCACAAGCCTGTAGAGTACAATATGCCACTTAATGATGCAACTGGAGCACTAATAGTAAAAATATATCCATAGCTATTTGTATTTATGTAAATTATGCTGAAGTCAACAGGAATCCATTTTAAACTGACTTTATTATTGGAAAAAACAAACTGCTTTTGATATCCAGATGTCAAAAAACCTAAAAAATTGTGATATCACTACTTTGATGCATTGCTTCCAGTTACTCCAGCCAGGTGGCATGCTGGAAATCTGACCCTCATGAGAAGAGAGCCTCTGAATGACCAACGTCTGTGAATAATACAAAAAAAAAATCTTTGAATCTATGACTGAGTTTTTAGTTTTTATATGATGGAATAAACACTACTTTTTTTCTTTTACTTTATAATCAATTTTTGAAAGTTTTTGTATTTTTTTAAATATAATAATAGATATTATATCTATTATTACATCTATTATTATTTTATAATAATAATAATAATAGATGTATATTGTAGTCTTGTATGCTTTTATTGCCTGCTTGCTTTTCCACTCACACAGCTGATTTATCCCACTGTGGGAGAACAAAGGGCCACTCTATTATACAGGTGCTGGTCATAAAATTAGAATATCATGAAAAAGTAGATTGATTTCAGTAATTCCATTTAAAAAGTGAAACTTGTATATTATATTCATACATTACATACAAACTCATATATTTCAGATGTTTATTTTGTTTAATTTTGATGATTACAAATGACAACAAATGAAAATCTCAAATTCATCATATCAGAAAATTAGAATATTACTGAAGACCAATAAAAACAAAGGATTTATAGAAATGTTGGCCAACTGAAAAGTATGAACATGAAAAGTATGAGCATGTACAGCACTCAGTATTTAGTTGGGCCTCCTTTGGCCTGTATTACTGCAGCAATGCGGCGTGGCATGGAGTCGATCAGTCTGTGGCACTGCTCAGGTGTTATGATAGCCCAGGTTGCTCTAATAGTGGCTTTTAGCTCTTCTGAATTGTTGGGTCTGGTGTATTGCATCTTCTTCTTCACAATACCCCATAGATTTTCTATGGGGTTAAGGTCAGGAGAGTTTGCTGGCCAATTAAGAACAGGGATACCATGGTCCTTCAACCAGGTACTGGTAGCTTTGGCACTGTGTGCAGGTGCCAAGTCCTGTTGGAAAATGAAATCTGCATCTCCAAAAAGTTGGTCAGCTGCAGGAAGCATGAAGTGCTCTAAAACTTCCTGGTATGTGGCTGCGTTGACCCTGGACCTCAGAAAACACAATGGACCAACACCAGCAGATGACATGGCACCCCAAACCATCACTGACTGTGGAAACTTTACACTGGACTTCAAGCAACGTGGATGAAGTGCCTCTCTTCTTTTCCTCCAGACTCTGGGACCTTGATTTCCAAAGGAAATGCTAAATTTACTTTCATCAGAGAACATGACTTTGGACCACTCACCAGCAGTCCAGTCCTGTTTCTCTTTAGCCCAGGCAAGACGCTTCTGACGCTGTCTGTGGTTCAAGAGTGGCTTGACACAAGGAATGCGACAGCAGAAACCCATGTCTTTCATACGTCTGTGTGTGGTGGTTCTTGAAGCACTCACTCCAGCTGCAGTCCACTCTTTGTGAATCTCCCCCACATTTTTGAATGGGTTTTGTTTCACAATCCTCTCCAGGGTGCGGTTATCTCTCTTGCTTGTACACTTTTTTCGACCACATCTTTTCCTTCCCTTCGCCTCTCTATTAATGTGCTTGGACACTGAGCTCTGTGAACAGCCAGCCTCTTTAGCGATGACCTTTTGTGTCTTGCCCTCCTTGTGCAAGGTGTCGATGGTCGTCTTTTGGACAACTGTCAAGTCAGCAGTCTTCCCCATGATTGTGTAGCCTATAGAACTAGACTGAAAGACCATTTAAAGGCTTTTGCAGGTGGTTTGAGTTAATTAGCTGATTAGAGTGTGGCACCAGGGGCCATCAATTTTGAACCTTTTCACAATATTCTAATTTTCTGATATGATGAATTTGAGATTTTCATTTGTTGTCATTTGTAATCATCAAAATTAAACAAAATAAACATCTGAAATATATGAGTTTGTATGTAATGTATGAATATAATATACAAGTTTCACTTTTTAAATGGAATTACTGAAATCAATCTACTTTTTCATGATATTCTAATTTTATGACCAGCACCTGTATGTTGAGAAACTTTATGAAGTCCTGAAAGTAAAAAAAATTGGGTGTTGAGAATTCTGAGATCACCTATTTAACTCTAAATGGAGTATTTACAAATATACTGAGTGTAAATCAACTCAAATGTTGGAGTTAATAATGAGTGTCAAATTGGACAACAGTGCAGAGTAACTTTACTCTATATGTTGTCGATCACCCTCCAGTCTCTGAGAGGTCGTCTTGATTTTAACACTAATATGAGTAAAATTAACTCTCAAAATCTGACAATAGCTGTAGAGTAAATATTACACTTATTTGGAGCAGGAATACATGTTATCTGAAACAGAGGTGTTGAGAATTCTGAGATCACCTATTTAACTCTAAATGGAGTATTTACAAATATACTGAGTGTAAATCAACTCAAGTGTTGGAGTTAATAGTGAGTGTCAAATTGGACAACAATGCAGAGTAACTTTACTCTATATGGTGTCGATCACCCTCCAGTCTCTGAGAGGTCTTCTTGATTTTACCACTAATATGAGTAAAATTAACTCTCAAAATCTGACACTAGCTATAGAGTAAATATTACACTTATTTGGAGCAGGAATAAATGTTATCTGAAGCAGATTTATATTCACCTCTGTAGGTGTTACACATGATTTTTTTCCCCCCACAAAGTTCCCCAATACTTTAGTTTACGCTTGAAGACTTTTTATACAGATGTTCTAGTTGCAGGAGATCCTTTTTCAATTAAATAGTTCGTAAAAAACAACAGCGCGATGCAAAGACAGTGAAACGTCTTCCTATTTGCCTAATATGGGTGTTTTTTCACTGAGGTCTAATTTTTGTCAGGAAACGAACACGTGATGCAAAAATAGATGGACGGAAAGGCAGCTGCTCCATGGCATAAATGGATTAAGGACTAAAACATCTACTTAAGTTTCATGCAGACAATGACCATTATACGGTGCCAATGATGAGCATCCTGCTCCTCCATCTTCAGAGGCTCTTAGGGTTATGCACCATTACTGGTAACAAAATCCTCTGAGTCTGAATGAGCTCAGTAAGAGCTCTTTGCTTTTCATCCACTCTCACCATAAAACAATACTGTGGCACCTTTTTCCATCACAGATGATAAAGAGAAGACCTACAGTATCTGAATGTTTTACAGGCTGTAAACTCAGCCTTAAACGACCACATTTACCTCATCATCTCATTATTACAGAGTGGCGCAAGAAGCAATACCTTTGAACTGTGTATGAGGAGATGACCTACAGGAGATAAAATCAGTTCCTTTCCTTTACAGAGAGACATGACTAAACTATACAGCTGCAGAAAAAGGTATCATGCGTTTTATTCTTTAGTTTATGGGGAAGTCTAAAAGTCAGTCACTGATGATAGCAAAGACCTTTCTATGGGGCAGGATTACTTTCTAATTACAGAGAGATTTCAGCTTTCCATGCCTGTCTGCAGCTCCCTTTCTTCACGTGTTCAATACTTTTTCCCTGTGCCATTACACTTTATTACACATGTATTAATTTCTTGACATCTATGTTTTGATTTCTTTGTATGTGTGGATTTAAACTTAACGACATTTGGTGAATAGCCTTTACATTTTGATAAAAATGAAAACATTTTTAGGGCGCTGCTTTCTAAATCCTATGCCAGGGTGCTGGAGAGGAGAGTCCAGCTGATTGTCGAACCTCGGCTGCAGGAGGAGCAGTGTGGTTTTCGTCCTGGCCGTGGAACAGTGGATCAGCTCTACACCCTCTGCAGGGTGCTTGAGGGTTCTTGGGAGTTTGCCCAACCAGTCCACATGTGTTTTGTGGACTTGGAGAAAGCATTCGACCGTGTCCCTCGTGCTGCCCTGTGGGGGGTGCTCCAGGAGTATGGAGTCGGGGGCCCTTTATTAAGGGCCATCCGTTCTCTGTACAAGCGGAGCAGGAGTCTGGTTCGCATTGGCGGCATTAAGTCGGACCTGTTCCCAGTGCATGTTGGACTCCGACAGGGCTGCCCTCTGTCACCGGTCCTGTTCATAACTTTTATGGACAGGACTTCTAGGCGCAGCCAAGGACCGGAGGGGGTCTGGTTTGGGGACCAGTGGATCTCGTACCTGCTTTTTGCGGATGACGTAGTTCTGCTGGCTCCCTCCTGCCAAGACCTACAGCGTGCGCTGGGGCGGTTGGCAGCCGAGTGTGAAGCGCCCGGGATGAGAATCAGCTCCTCCAAGTCCGAGGCCATGGTTCTCCACCGGAAAAAGGTGGCTTGTCCCCTTCAGGTTGGAGGAGAGTCCCTGCCTCAAGTGGAGGAGTTCAAGTATCTTGGGGTCCTGTTCACGAGTGAGGGAAGAATGGAGCGGGAGATCGATAGACGGATCGGTGCGGCTGCTGCAATAATGCGGACGCTGCACCGGTCTGTCGTGGTGAAGAGAGAGCTGAGCGAAAAGGCAAAGCTCTCAATTTACCGGTCGGTCTACGTTCCTACCCTCACCTATGGTCATGAAATCGGGATCATGACCGAAAGAAGGAGATCCTGGATACAAGCGGCTGAAATGAGCTTCCTCCGCAGGGTGGCTGGGCTCTCCCTTAGAGATAGGGTGAGGAGCTCGGTCATTCAGGAGAGGCTCAGTGTAGAGCCGGTTCTCCTCCACATCGAGAGGAGTCAGTTGAGGTGGCTCAGACATCTTCTTCGGATGCCCCCTGGACGCCTCCCTCGGGAGGTGTTCCAGGCACGTCCCACTGGGAGGAGGCCCAGGGGACGACCCAGGACACGCTGGAGAGACTATGTCTCTTGGCTGGCCTGGGAGCACCTAGGGCTTCCCCCAGCAGAGCTGGAGGAGGTGTCTGCGGAGAGGGAAGTCTGGGAGTCTCTGCTTAGTCTGCTGCCCCTGCGACCCGGTTACGGATAAAGCGGGAGATGATGAGTACGAGTACGAGCTTTCTAAATCCATCTAAATCTATTATGTTCAAAAAGCACATTTAAAAAGAAAAAAAAGGTCATTAACCAAACTGCAGCCAGAAGTGGAGCAGGTCAAACCATCAAAGGTGCCAAAAGTGTACTGAAACACTATGGTAAAAGTAAAAGCACCAGTTGAAGTACTTTACTACGTTAAAAGTTTAAAAAGTACTGGTTCTGACAGTACTCAAGGAGAAAAGTAAAATGATTTTTACAATAAATCACTAAAAACTGCAATAATAACTCTATTCTTTGAAAATATTTCTATGCACAGAAAATAGCTTCATTTTCCATTTTGCTCATTATGTCAGTAGAGAGAGAGCATATAAATAACTGACATGGTTTAGTTTTGTTTAAAATGAAAATGTTAGCCTGGATAATGTAGATTTTACTGAACAGAAGTCATGCAAAGCAGCCACGTACTAAATCTAGTACGTAACAAAGGGGGGATAAACATAATCAGTGTTTTTCTGTTGACCCACTGAACACATTCTCTCTGCACTCTTGATTTTCCCTATTTGGTTGCAGCTGCTGTTTAAAGTCATCATCTATATGAACAGAAGTAGAAGTAAGACAGAAGTAGATAGAAGTAGAAAGTAAGGGGTAGAGAATATAGATATCTGTGTTCAAAAGTAGAGAGTAAAAGTAAAACATGCTCAGAAATCCAAATACTGAAGTAAAGTACAGACGCCTCAAAAATCCAAAAGTACAGTAAACAAGCATTTATTCTTATTTAAAAATAAAAGGAATAGAATAAAAGAGAAACGACAAAAACTCAACTCACATTGTTCCAAACATTACAGACAATAGTTTTGTTTTTAAGAAAGAGTAAAAACCAGTTATAAGAGAAGACCTCACTAATGACAGCTAGTTACATCTGATAAAGCTTCTGAGTTTGGTCCAGTTTTATGTAAAACCAATTGGATCAATCTATACTTTTTACTTAACCTAAGAATCGTCCTTTGAAACTCTCAATTTTCTCTCCACAGCCGTTTCTTGCCGAAAGCTAGATGGCGGTCAAGCGGACATCGAGGCTTGCCTTCAGCTTGGCACCCCCATGCCGCCCCTCACCCAGCTGTGCCACCTTCCCTGTCAGGATGACTGTCAGCTCAGTAACTGGTCCAAGTTTTCTACCTGCACAGCAGACTGCGTAGGCGTCAGGACCCGCAAGAGGATACTAGTAGGTTAGTACAATGTTCTAGATTGGATACAGCTGAAACCACCTATTTATGGCCTTTACTGAAATAAAAGAGATATAATCTTTACTTCCAAACCACTGAACTTAAATCAGAGTAAATGTTTCCTGATTGAGGTCATCTAGGTTTATTCATGACTTTTCTAATTGGAAAAAGACAGAATAGTAGGAAAGAGAATCGTGTTGATGTGTCTTTGAGGTTTCCCTCATTGTCCAGTTTGCAAGGGGCATCATCATGATAATGATAAAGTTTGGTAGGCTGACTGAGCCATAAGAGACAGTACCTTTGGACTGGCATGATGGGGTAGAGGCTTTGTTCCACCTATAGGGGATCACCGTTCTCAGCCTTCCAGGAATGACATTGCCATTGTGTTGTAGAGGAGAGTCCAGCTGATGGTTGAACCTTGTCTTCAGGTGGACCAGGTCTACACCTGCTACAGGGTGTAGACTAGTCCCTCATGGTTCCCTGTTGAAGAGGATCAGGAGGATGTTTCACACCATGACATTGAGGCAGACCTCTGCCCAGAACATACTGGACTAAGCTTTATGGCCTGGGTTTCTAGGCCCAGCCATAAGAGATCTCGATTCTGCTTCCCATTATCTGACACTAGACCTATACAAGATTAGCCCTGATCATTCTTCCTTTTGACGTTTTCCTTCTACAGTAGTAGCCATTCCAAATGTCCCCACTTTCCTTGATGGGCCCTTGGCTGGTCCCCTGAAATCCCTTTTCAAACAGCATCTTTGTACCGATGATTCGTGATTCATTAAGATCTAAAGAGAAGCGTAATCTCCCGGTCAGACCCTCTAATTCAGTGAAAGGGTGAAGTCAGAGTAAAAAAATATGCAAGAGGGTGTCACTCCAGTAGCTGGAAGTTGGAAGGGATTTCTCTTGGAGTTGGAGGGGGGTAGGCTGCCATTCGGCTGGTGTTTGACTGGGAAAGGCCATTTTGAAAAGCTGCTACTGTAAGTTATCTAAAATCAAATCGCAGAAACATTTGCTGTGTTTCTTTATATCTGGTAACATCTGGTTTCACTTTTTGTACGTATTGTTCCTGTTATTCATTACTCTCATGTTATTGTTCAGGAAAAAGTAAAAAGCGTGACCAATGCAAAAACAACCAGCTGTTTCCTCTGAGCGAGACCCAGTACTGCCCATGCAACAAGTACAACGCTCAGCCGGTGGGCAACTGGTCCGACTGCGTCCTGCCTGAGGGCAGTCGCATGGAGAGCCAGCTTGGCATGAGGGTCCAAGGAGACATCAAGGAGTGTGGCCAAGGATACCGCTACCAAGCCATGGTGTGCTACGACCAGGACAACCGCATAGTGGAAACGTCTCGCTGCAACAGTCATGGTGGGTTTTTCTGTGGATAAGCTTCCAAGACAAAACTAAGGCTGCGTCTGAACGTCCGCCCTAACCCCTAAATCCCTGCATTACTATATAAAGCGGGGACTATATAGTGGGCTTTATAGTAAACTCAGTTGTATGACACTTCAGACAGATGATCACTACTTCTCACAAACAGTTGGTCACGTAACTCCTCCTCCCTGCACTATTTTTATTAGTCACGGCTACAACAAATCCCATTATGCTTTTCAAGGAGAAAAAATCTGGGATATATCTGCTCATCCTGTGACCATGGATGGTCACCACTTTTCCAGGTACATTGTGGGAAATTTCGAGTCCACTTCTTTTTCATCCACTAGATGTTCTGACACTACATAGTGGCCCTACATAGTGTCCGAACAGACGTTGGCCCTATATAGTGATTGGGGCGGACGTTCAGACACAGCCAGAGTGACCCGGTCTATACCATGATTTAAACATGTCTGATGTGTGTATTGTGTAAAAATAGGAGTGTAAAGATTAACCACTTTATTCTAATTTATGGGTAGAATAGAATAGAAATAACCTTTATCGTCCCACAGTGGGGAAATTCAGGTGTACCAGCATCAAAGGGAAAGAAAAATGGGAGCATGCAGATACATTGGAAGGTAAAGAATATTAAAACAGAAAAATAAAATAAAAAACTTAGAATGAGAGCCAGTTAATTAAGGTCAAATTACACCATAAGAACGATAGTATGGTTATTCAATATATAGTCAGTCCATCACAGAGACACGCAAAGAGTAACAGCAGCTCACACCTAAGGGCAATTTGGAATGTCCAATCAACCTAACATGCAGGTGTTTGGACTGTGAGAGAAATCCAGAGAACCCAGAGTAAATCCATGCAGGGTTCGGGGGCCCGGAGTAGGGGTTTCGCGTGTACTTGAACCCACAACCTTTTTGCTGTGAGGCAATGGTGCTAACCACCATGCCATTGAGCCACAAGTGCTTCTAACATTGCATATACATTTATGGGTCTTAACAACAATAAGAAATACCAAGTTCGGTCCATTTATCAGTATCTGTGGTGGTGGAATCAAACCCATTTCATAAAAGAAAGATGAAAGTAGCTTTTATTACATACTCTTCTTCCGACGCCATTACTGATGTAAAATTTGATTTTTCTCACCACTGATTTCAACTGTTTGGAAAAAAAACTGCAGCAGGTTAATTTATTTTATATTCCTGTAACAAAAAATAAATACAAATACATTTTATTAATTCTATTGACATCATTATGACTTTTTATGTGTCCTGTCTGGCAATGTGGCAATAAGACTAATTGTCTTGATGCCAAAAAGAGCCCAACAGATTTTCCGCTTGATTTATGCTACTAAATAGCTTTATTATAATTATGCTGGGAGTATTACAGATTATATGGACACTGCGATGTAAATAGAACAGGAAAGGAAAAACAGAAATAAAAGGAGAAAAGATGAAAGAAAGAGGAGATAAAAGGGAGTTAATGATAAAACGATATGTTATCTTTATTGATACAGCTCAACATTACAGCTATTACCCAGTGGCGCCACCAGGGGGTGGCCTTGCCACCCTGTGCAATGCCCTGGCTACCCCACTGGCTACCCAACTAGCCACACCCCTGGCCAGTAGGGTTGGGAATTGAAAAGATTTTCACGATTCCGATTCCCTTTTCGATTCTATGAAACGATTCGATTCTTTATCGATTCTTTTTTCGATTCCAATTTGGGGGGAAAAGGAGAACAAACAGTTTGATTATCAGAATCAACTTTGTTTACTTAACTATTGCACAATCTTACAAACTCAACAAGATCAAGATGTCCACAGGAAATGTGAAACTGGAGTAACATCTGTGTTTAAATGAAAAATGAATACAAGAACAAACTTAATAACCAACAATGTCTAATAACAAATGATGGGATAATAACCTATTTTAAATAACAAAAAATACTAATTATAAAACAGTAGTAGGGAAAATTAACAGTTCTTTGCAGAAAGATGAGCATATCTGCTTTTCTGGAAGGATACGGGATCTTTCAGGGCTTATGGTGTCTCCAGCCATGGAGAACACCCTCTCAGATGGGGTGCAGGAAGCCTGCACACAGAGGTAGTTTTCAGCCAGTCCAGATAGCAAGGGCAGCGTATCTTGCTTGTTCCACCACCACAGTGTGGCGCTATCCCTGCAGGGGATGGAGGGCAAGCTTTTATAGAGCTGGATTTCCTGATCTACCGTCTGGGCTAAGGAAAGTCGGGACTTTGATTCACAAAGTGACCGCAGCTCGTTGTCTTCCTCCTCGAATAGTTCTTCCAACTTGCGTAACTTGCGTAACTTACGTAAAAAACGTGACGTAAGTCGTGCTCCCCAGAGCCGGCGCTCTAGGCTCTGGTGCTGCGGGAATCGAAAAAAGAATCATTCAGCGAGCTGCCAAACGATGCCATGGAATCGGAAAATACGGAACCGGTTCTGAACAGGAACCGGTTTTCGATTCCCATCCCTACTGGCCAGTGTAAATTATAGTAGCATCAGTTCACCATTTCATCCCATTATGCAGAGCCAGCGACGTAACATTATAAATCACACAATAAACCAAGATATGAGTAGATGTTTCCTAAAGTCTTTATTATTTCTACAGGCAGGTTTACTACAGTAGTAGATTTAAACCCTGAAATTATGGCTTTTAGTTTCAGTGGCCACAACAAGATTTCTATTAGCCCCATCTTGCCCCCCCCATAAAACATTTATGGAGGCGCCACTGCTTTTACCAACCAGTTTATTCCTGATACCTTTTATTTATTTACCCAGTGTGACTGAATAATATAGTTCTAGTTTACGTTGTCATGGCAACGTCAAGCCAGCTAGTGGTTGGTGAGTAAAGAGGTATCCTGCTTGCGGCAGCAGACTCGTAAATTTAAATAATCTAATGACAGAAACGTGGAGGAAATATGGCACAGAGACTCATTTTGGATTCCTCCACTTATTAGAGACTTTATCTCTCTGACCTCAGAGCGAACCTGAACATTTGCACACCTGTAAGCAGGAAGGGCCCCCTGCCTGTAGCTCAAAGTTATAGCATGGAGCCGCCGCACACTTTCATATCTATCCATGCAGTTTAATGTAACCATAGTATTTTAGAGTGTTACTTTGATCCTGTGTTCTTCTTGTAATGGATGTGAAGAACTGTTCAATAATGTTTAAATAATATAATAATATTATTTTCTTGTGGTTTGCGATAAAGGATTTTGGAGCCAATGTGACATAAACAAAGTGACTCAGGTTCCTGCCAGCTGACCACATCTATGCTGTCATAGTGTTATTAAAAGCGCAGATATTTACCTGAGAACTGATGATGTCCGTGTGCTACCGACCCTGGTTCCACTGAAGTGTATATGGCAATAAGTAGTATATCTCAATCTATTTACTTATTTATTTTATTGTATTTTAAGTAGGCGTTTAGGCTCATAGGTTTTTATCTAAAAAAACAACACAATTTTCACTACACCCCCTGATGAAAATTACTTCCTGGCCAAACATCAACTGTCATAAGCTGACAAAACTGGATAAATGTCAGAGACGTCTTCAGAAACTGAGCAAAAATCCTGTTGCCTCTGACTTAAGTCTGTTTTTTAAACTGTTCTAGATAGATTTACATAGATCACCAAGATTTTTCCTCATCTTAACTCTGATTTAGTTTCACTCAACCGGCCGAATGTTGAGGGTACTTAAAACAACAACAACAACAAAGCCTCATCTATAAATATCTGTTGTTTGGGGCTGTGAAATATTCATTTCCATGTTAATATCTTGATTCTAAAAGTTCTGTTGAGTCTGTCTGAAAAAAGCTGAGGCTGCTCGCTGACACCTGTGACCGATTACAGGGTATATCGAGGAGGCTTGCATCATCCCCTGTCCATCCGATTGCAAATTAAGTGAATGGTCCAACTGGTCTCGCTGCAGCAAGTCGTGCGGCAGCGGGGTCAAAGTTCGTTCAAAGTGGCTCAGAGAAAAGCCGTACAATGGTGGAAGACCTTGTCCCAAACTGGACCATGTCAACCAGGTGAGCAGTGGGGGTGGGGCTATTCCAGGATCAGATCCGATAGTTTCTCTAAAACAATAATCTCATTCATTTTTATCTCTTTTCCGGTGCTCAATGGATTTCATCTCCAGGCTCAAGTGAGTAAAACATTTTGATGATATTTGCTCTATTATTTCTTCCATCCATTTTCCGTCATGCTAATCTCAAGTGGGGTGGCGAGGGGTGCTGGTGCCTATCTCCTGGTGTCTACGGGCGTGAGGCAGGGTCCACCCTGGACGAGTCACCAGTCCATCTCAGGGAAACACCCACTCACACCTAAGGAGAACTTAGAGAAGCCAATTAAAACTAACAATCATGTTTTTGGACTGTGGGAGGAAGCCGGAGTACCCAGAGAGAACCCACACATGCTCAGGGAGAACATGCAAACTCCATGCAGAAAGACACCGGGCAGGGAATCGAAACCGGAATCTTCTTGCTGCAAGGCAGTAGTGCTACCCACTGCCCCACTGCGCTAACCTGACTCCGCCAGATGGATTTGCTCCGCATATCCATCTGGAAACTTTCCGTTAAAGTAATTTTGGGAAGGGGCGAAAATACTGGTTAGCTGATTGGCCTATGTTGGTGATAGACGGGCCAAATAAACCAATCAGATCAACGAAGCATATGACGTACTAACAGAGCGACGACGAAGAGGAGCCAATTGATAGATCAAACTCTTGCCGAAACCAGTCGGGAGAAGAGCAAAAACATCTTTTCCTCTGAGAAAAGCATCCAGAGCAGTGTTTTGCTCTTCTTTCAGTGAAGAAATACTCTGTAATTCCGATAAAACTTGCTCGATAGCCACGCTAACGCTAGTTTCATCGGCTGAAGCCGCCATGTTCTTTAGACTGAACTGTCGCGCTTCTCGTTGCGTCACACCTCAACCCGCCTCAAAGCCAACGCTGATTGGACGTTCGTTTGGTGAACGGCTCCAAATTTTCTTTAACGGAGAGTCTCCAGACTGATCTGCGAGTGAAACCTTGAAAGCTCGCGAGATCAGGATGGTCTCAGGAGGCTACCACTGCGCAGCCAGCACCCCTATTATTTCTTAATTAGAGTAATTTTCCATGTGTCCATCAGCACATTGCCAAACAGATTCAATTAATTTAAATTCAAATAGAGTTTTGTAATTCAAAGGCATATGAAATACTGCAGAAACTCATCGTTGCTGTTGTTGGTGATGGATGATGCTGACGTCATTTTTGACAGCAGATCTCAGATGTTCCTGGGCGTCTCATAAGAGGCTTTTAAATGAGAAGTTCAGCCTGCTAACGGTGGAGTCTGCCTGGGTTTCAGGTGTATGAGGTGGTGCCCTGCGTCAGCGACTGTGGACAGTATGTCTGGGTGGCAGAACCGTGGAGCGTGTGGAAGGTCAGCAGCGTGGACCTGAAGAGCAACTGTGGCGAAGGCGTGCAGACCCGAAAAATCAGGTGAGAGATCCACATGTTGACGATATGGATGTTCTTAGTTAAGCTGCGCTGATTAGATACGTTTGTTCCTACAGCACTCTAATGAATGATAGATTAATTGTTATTGTGTTAGCAGAGCAAAGAATCATTCCATTCCTGATTAATTATGCTGACTGCTTCTTGCACATGGAGTTTTATGAGCACTGTTAAACAGAACTGGCAGATATGTAGCAGAACCTTCTAGCCTGTTCTGCTTTAATCTCTCTGTGAGCAGGTGTATGCTCAACACAATAGATGGACCATCTGAGCAGGTGGAGGACTACCTCTGCGACCCAGAGGAAATGCCTTTAGGGGCCCGGAACAGCCGCCTGCCCTGCCCCGAGGACTGCGTACTGTCAGACTGGGGAACCTGGAGCGCGTGCCCTCTGGTAGGAAGGACGTCTGATTTATTCAATCCAACTTTATTTATAAAGCAGTTAAAATTCTCAAAAGACCAGAATGCTGTGCAATGAAACAGCATAAAACCATTACACAGAGTCAGAGGATATAAATAAAAAACAAAGATAAAAGAATAAAAGACATAAAATTTAAATCAGATCTATAAAATCTCAGAGAGATTAACAATTTAAAATACAGTAGCTGCCTTCCAAATTTCTCTACTTTCCTTGGCTGGTCCCCTACACTGCAAAAAACATCTAGAAATAAGTAAAAATGTCTTAAATTAAGTGTATAGCAGGTAAATAAGATGATCTGCCAATGGAATGAGTATTTTTACTCCTAAAATAAGATAATTAGATAATATTCACTTGAAATAAGACAAAGCAATTGTTTTTTTCTTATCATAAATGTAAATTGTCTTGTTCCATTGGCAAAGTGTCTCACTTACCTCCTCAATTCAAGAAAAAACGCACTTAATTTGAGCAAAAATTACTTATTTAGATTTCAATTCCCTTTTAAACATAAATCTTTGTACCAAAATATTCTTTCTAGTCAACATTTCTTAAATTAAGTGTATTTGCCTTTAATTTGAGCGAGTAAATAAAAAGATCTGCAAATGGAATGAGTATTTCTACTCTTAAAATACGATAATTGTATAATATGCACTTAAAAGAAGGCGATGCAAATGTTTTTTTCTTATTTAAAATGTGAATCGTCTTGTTCCTTTGGCAAAGTGTTAATTTAATTTAAGAAACTTAAATTAAATTTAGAAAAAATGACTTATTTAGATTTTGTTGTTGTTTTTTTCCATTGCATGCAGAGAGGTAGATTTTTTAATCCTCATTGGAAGGTCGTTCCACATTTTCGGAGCTGCCACATAGAAAGCACGATCCCCCTTAAGCTTCCGTTTAGTTTTAGGCACCTCAGGAAGCAGCTGATTGGCTGACCTGTGTGAACGGGAGGGTGTCTGAAGGTGCAGCATCTCAGAAAGATAAGATGGAGCAAAACCATGGAGCAACCTAAAAACAACTCTCACAGCACTTGGTTGTTTGGTTGCATCCACTGTCATTCACAGACAGCTACGATCCAATGTTCAATGTATTTATAGTCAGAGCAGCAGGTTCTTTTAGAAGAAGAGGATGCTTAAATGCTTCTTCCTTTCCAACTGTGTTCAGTTTATCACTCTATGCATTGGAGGACTCTGAATTAATTCTCTCTCTGTTCCTTTCTGCCAAACTCTTCCTTTACTGCTTAAACAGAACATAATCTGATAAAACCAAAAGGTGTTTTATGAACATTACTCCATTTTCTAACCTGTCAGCTAAAGGTGAGGTTGTTCCCGTGATCCGCTGACATTCAACCTTTAATTGATTAGCAAATACTTGATCAACATAAATTAAAAATAATGTTAAGTTGATAGTGGTCATCAGTTTAGTTTTTTCTCTCTTCACACATTTAACCTCACAGCTAAGAGAACAGGGGGTTTTCATCAGGTTCCTGCTGTTTGCATTATATCGTCACCAAAGGAAAACAAACATGGCTGCCATGGGAATACAGTAGATATAGAAGATCTGTTCAGTTACAGTTCAGTTTATTTCTATAGCACCAATTCAAAACACGTAATCTCAGCTCACTTTATAGAGACAATTCAACCAGATCATCCAGTCAGATTGATTCAAAGTTTTCTATCTAAGGAAAACCAGCGGATTGCATCGACTCATTGACTCTTCAGCAATCTCTCACACTAAGCATGCTTGTAGCGACAGTGGAGAGGAAAAACTACCTTTGAACAGGAAGAAACCTCCAGCAGAACCAGGCTCAGTGTGAGCGGCCATCTGCTGAGGCCGACTGGGGTTCAAGGAGACAGAAGCAGACATAGAAAAAGAAGCATAGATACAAAAAGCAACTATCAACCAGCTCCACAGGCGGCCCCGTCCAGGAAACACACAGCCAGGCAGACGAGCTCCGAGCCAGCTCCCATGTCAGAGGATGAAGAGAGCACATCCAGTTAGTCACAGTCAGAGAAACAGGACTACACTGGAAAAAAGGCCAAGCTCCAACATCTATAAACAAAGGTCTTAATGGCAGCAGCACAGCTGATATTTCTCTCCCGGATGGAGTCACAGCCAAACAGGAACAGACCAGATGAAGCTACTATGAGAAAAAGCAGAGAGCAGAATGTTAGAGATTGAACTAACAGATTCTTCAGAACGATAGAATGAAGCAAAATTATGAAAAAGAGGTCCCTGTGTCCTCCAGCAGTCTAAGCCTATAGTATCATGTTGAGGAGAGCTTTATTTCTCCTTCTCTAAAGAAATAAAGGTTTACTATTTCTGTTAAGATTAGGTCTTATCTTCACTAGATAATGTTTAGGAGCCAGTCAAACAGCTAAAATAAATGTATTGTTTGTTTTTGATCCTACATCTCAAAAGGAGAACAGTTTTTTGCAGATATTATGTACCAGATATTATGTATTTAAGATGCTTCCTCTGCCTGCAGCCCTGCAGTGAGAACACTACACGTGTCAGGGTTGCCTACCCTCTCCGGAGACCTGGAAAAGAAAAAAAATGTCCTTCTACAAAAGAGACAGAACCATGTAAAATCAACAGCAACTGCTTTCACTACTCATACAACATCACAGGTGAGGTGGACAAACAGCGCGGTCAGCTCTCACAGGGATTAAAGTGACATGCCGTTAATCCCATGTGTCCTTTCAGACTGGAGCACCTGTCAGCTCAGTGAGAGAGCGGTTTGTGGGTACGGCATCAAAACCCGGATGCTCGACTGCGTGCGCAGCGACGGGAAATCTGTTGACCTCAGCTTCTGTAAAGAGGTGAGACATATCAAAGTCTGTCTCATGGCATTTGTTGTAAATATTTTGAATAAATTAATGAAACCCAATGAGTTTTCCTTGCAGCTGGGCCTAGAGAGGAAGTGGCAGATGAATGCTTCCTGCGTGGTGGAATGCCCTGTCAACTGCCAGCTGTCTGACTGGTCAGCGTGGTCAGAATGTAGACACACCTGTGGCTTGGCAGGTAGGTTCCTCTTCACACAAGTTTATTCAGTTTTATTACCCACCTCGAATTATGAACTTAATCTTTGATATTTGGTCCACCGAGATAAAACATGAACCTGAAACTTGTGCAACCAGCAAAACTTTTCGTGTGACAGTATACGTTCCTGGATAATATACCTTTGCCCTTTTTGCACTTTCAGCATAATACTAATAAAAAAAAATCTAAAAATTGTTTTTAAACATTATTCAATTCTGGCATTTTAGGTGTTGCTTGTACAGTAGCAGTCATTCAAAATTTCCCTGCTTTGCGTGATGGGCCCTTGGTTGGTCCTTGGCTGGTCCTTGGCTGGCCCTTGGTTGGTCCTTGGTTGGTCCTTGGCTGGCCCTTGGCTGGTCCTTGGCTGGCCCTTGGTTGGTCCTTGGCTGGTCCTTGGCTGGCCCTTGGTTGGTCCTTGGCTGGTCCTTGGCTGGCCGATGGCTGGCCTTTGGCTGACCCTTGGTTGGTCCTTGGCTGGCCCTTGGCTGGCCTTTGGCTGACCCTTGGTTGGCCCTTGGCTGGCCCTTGGCTGGTCCTTGGCTGGCCCTTGGCTGGTCCTTGGCTGGCCCTTGGTTGGTCCTTGGTTGGTCCTTGGCTGGCCCTTGGCTGGCCTTTGGCTGACCCTTGGTTGGCCCTTGGCTGGTCCTTGGCTGGCCCTTGGTTGGTCCTTGGCTGGCCCTTGGCTGGCCTTTGGCTGACCGTTGGTTGGCCCTTGGCTGGCCCTTGACTGGCCTTTGGCTGACCCTTGGTTGGCCCTTGGCTGGCCCTTGGCTGGTCCTTGACTGGCCCTTGGTTGGTCCTTGGCTGGCCCTTGGTTGGTCCTTGGCTGGCCCTTGGCTGGGTCTTGGCTGTTCCTTGCCTGGTCCTTGGCTGGCCCTTGGCTGGCCATTGGTTGGTCCTTGGCTGGCCCTTGGTTGGTCCTTGGCTGGCCCTTGGCTGGTCCTTGGCTGGCCCTTGGCTGGTCCTTGACTGGCCCTTGGTTGGTCCTTGGTTGGTCCTTGGTTGGTCCTTGGCTGGCCCTTGGTTGGTCCTTGGCTGGCCCTTGGCTGGGTCTTGGCTGTTCCTTGCCTGGTCCTTGGCTGGCCCTTGGCTGGCCATTGGTTGGTCCTTGGCTGGCCCTTGGTTGGTCCTTGGCTGGCCCTTGGCTGGTCCTTGGCTGGCCCTTGGCTGGTCCTTGGCTGGCCCTTGGCTGGCCCTTGGCTGGTCCTTGGTTGGTCCTTGGTTGGCCCTTGGCTGGCCCTTGGTTGGTCCTTGGTTGGTCCTTGGTCGGTCCTTGGTTGGTCCTCGGTTGGTCCTTGGCTGGCCCTTGGTTGGTCCTTGGTTGATCCTTGGCTAGCCCTTGGCTGGTCCTTGGTTGGCCCTTGGCTGATCTTTAGCTGGTCCTTGGTTGGTCCTTGGTTGATCCTTGGCTAGCCCTTGGCTGGCCCTTCACTGACCCTTGGCTGTTCAATGGCTGGCCCTTGGTTGATCCTTGGCTGGCCCTCGGTTGGTCCTTGGTTGATCCTTGGCTAGCCCTTGGCTGTTCCTTGGCTTGCCCTTGGTTGGTCCTTGGCTGGCCCTTGGTTGGTCCTTGGCTGATCCTTGGCAAGCCCATGGCTGGTCCTTGGCTGGCCCTTCACTGGCCCTTGGCTATTCCTTGGCTGGCCCTTGGTTGGTCCTTGGCTGGCCCTTGGTTGGTCCTTGGTTGATCCTTGGCTAGCCCTTGGCTGGTCCATGGCTGGCCCTTGGCTGGCCCTTAGCTGGTCCTTGGTTGGTCCTTGGTTGATCCTTGGCTAGCCCTTGGCTGGTCCTTGGCTGGCCCTTCACTGGCCCTTGGCTGTTCCTTGGCTGGCATTGGTTGATCCTTGGTTGGCCCTTGGTTGGTACTTGGTTGGTCCTACAATTCCTTTTTAAACATGAATCTTTGTACTAATATATTCTCTCTGTCATGAATTTGGACATTAAGATCCAAAGAGAATAGTCATCTCCTGGTCAGACCCTCTAATTCAGTGAAAGGGCGGAGTCAGAGTAAAAAATATGCAGGCCCTGGAGAAGGCCAGTGGCTGGAAGTTGGAGGGGATTTCACTGGGAGTTGCAGGGAAGTGGGCTGACAGTCAGCTGGCGTTTGACAGGGAAGGGCCATTTTGAATGGCTGCTACTGTAGCAACTAGATTATAAACCACCCATAAACCATTTAAATAAGGGGCACAGCATTTCATTTCGCTTGAAAATTTAAATCAAGGTCCCAGAAAATTAACATTTAATTCCCCTCCAGTACATTTCTGGCATCATCTTGTCTTCATATTTAGACACTTCTTTTTTAAATGGTGGAGATCATTTTTAATTCCCTGGTTCTTTAGCAAAGACACAGCTTTTAGGCATCATTTGTATATTTTCAGTAACATACAAAGACAATGACGGGATTTAGCTGATTTAGCTATTTATATGCTGAGTATGAGAAGACTACACCATATGCGGAAATATGTACATATACAGATATATGCATAGTCTCACCACCCATTAATTGCCTCTTTTATTAAATAATGCAACAGCTGCATGGTTTGGTGTTTGGCAGAAAATGCCCTCTTTTAGAACCTGCTTGTTTTTCCACTCTGCACTCTCTTGGTTGTTGTAATGCACCGCACAATGTGATCCTTTGGGCACATTAGGTACCTAATAGGGTAGATAACTCTTGGTGTCTAAACCCCACTTTAAGGACGTGTGGATAGGAGAAATGCTTTATGATGTGAGAAATGATAGTGTTACCGTGGGATGATAATGTCCTTGAATGTAATTCCATCAGACCAGCTCATTGATCGGCGTTCCATTACGGGAACATGCATGGCAGCTTAGAGAGCACTCTGTTCTGAGCAGCTCCTTGACAGCACCAGGAGCTATACCAGGAAATAATAAACCAATAGAAGCTGTAATTGACAATCCTAATCTATCCTGAGGCAAGAATGTTTTTTGTTTTGTTTCTGGACTGTGAGATAGTACTCCCCCACCTTCCTGCTGCTGCTATTTATTTTTATCTCTTTAGGCTGGCTGTGAGGACAGTCCTCCCTAGAGGAGACAGACTTGTCTGTACCACAGCCATTACTGATGTTTGTGGATTTATTTATAGTTAAGCAACATATTGCCGTTTTCTGAAAACCTGACCAGCTCTTCCTTAGATGTAAAACCATATATCTGTACATTTATAGAGTCTATGGGCTTTTGCACCTGTTTCAAACATTCGCACATCTGCCCAGTGCTAAATACTGATCTACAGTATAAACATCTACAGTCATGATAATCAATATAATACCACATTTTCTTCAATTTTTCATCACATGTATTTATTTTTTATCCAATATAACTTTATAATATGAAAGTGGAGGAAATTATTCTCACCGTAACTGTAAGAGTTGCAGGAATCATTAACTGGCCTGTCATTAAGTTTATGCATATGTGTTTTAAACAGTGATTTACTGGTGAGCAATCAGTGACAAAGAACGTGAAGCTAATTGCCACAGTTTGGCGTTCAATGGTCCGCTGTATTGGATACTGTCCAGGTTACGATCCCTTAGTCAACATTTCATGCTCTTTTCATCTTTTTGTTTGAGCTGCTTTGATTTTAGCTAAAAAGTGTTTTTGTATCTAGTTTCTTGCAGTGTAATGTTGTTGCCCCCCAGTACTGCAGTAAAGATCAAACTGAGTCAAGGAGCTTCAATATTTATAGCAGAGGCAGTAATAAAAATTCACTCTAAACCATCAGATTATATGGATTCATTTCATTTTCTCAAACTAAACAAAACTAAATCCTTTAGTTTTCTGTACTGTTTCTATACAGTTTGATCTTTTTTATAATTCATAAACACTGAAAGGACTTTTAAGCCTATCCCACTTCTTGACATGGATGGATGGATGGATGGATGGATGGATGGATGGATGGATGGATGGATGGATGGATGGATGGATGGATGGATGGATGGATGGTTGGATGGATGGATGGATGGATATTTGATGGTTGGATGGATGGAGGGATGGATATTTGATGGTTGGATGGCTGGATGGATGGATGGATGGATGGATGGATATTTGATGGTTGGATGGATGGAGGGATGGATATTTGATGGTTGGATGGCTGGATGGATGGATGGATATTTGATGGTTGGATGGATGGTTGGATGGATGGATGGATGGATGGATGGATGGATGGATGGATATTTGATGGTTGGATGGATGGAGGGATGGATATTTGATGGTTGGATGGCTGGATGGATGGATATTTGATGGTTGGATGGATGGTTGGATGGATGGATGGATGGATGGATATTTGATGGTTGGATGGATGGAGGGATGGATATTTGATGGTTGGATGGCTGGATGGATGGATGGATATTTGATGGTTGGATGGATGGTTGGATGGATGGATGGATGGATGGATGGATATTTGATGGTTGGATGGATGGAGGGATGGATATTTGATGGTTGGATGGCTGGATGGATGGATATTTGATGGTTGGATGGATGGTTGGATGGATGGATGGATGGATGGATGGATATTTGATGGTTGGATGGATGGAGGGATGGATATTTGATGGTTGGATGGATGGATGGATGGATGGATGGATGGATATTTGATGGTTGGATGGATGGAGGGATGGATATTTGATGGTTGGATGGCTGGATGGATGGATATTTGATGGTTGGATGGATGGTTGGATGGATGGATGGATGGATATTTGATGGTTGGATGGATGGAGGGATGGATATTTGATGGTTGGATGGCTGGATGGATGGATGGATATTTGATGGTTGGATGGATGGTTGGATGATGGATGGATGGATGGATGGATATTTGATGGTTGGATGGATGGAGGGATGGATATTTGATGGTTGGATGGCTGGATGGATGGATATTTGATGGTTGGATGGATGGTTGGATGGATGGATGGATGGATGGATATTTGATGGTTGGATGGATGGAGGGATGGATATTTGATGGTTGGATGGCTGGATGGATGGAGGGATGGATATTTGATGGTTGGATGGCTGGATGGATGGATGGATGGATGGATATTTGATGGTTGGATGGATGGAGGGATGGATATTTGATGGTTGGATGGCTGGATGGATGGATGGATATTTGATGGTTGGATGGATGGATGGATGGATGGATATTTGATGGTTGGATGGATGGAGGGATGGATATTTGATGGTTGGATGGCTGGATGGATGGATATTTGATGGTTGGATGGATGGTTGGATGGATGGATGGATGGATGGATGGATGGTTGGATGGATGGATGGATGGATGGATGAATATTTGATGGTTGGATGGATGGATGGATGGATGCAAGGGCGTAGGAATATGTTTACAATTGGGGGGGACACATGTCGGAAATCTGAGATTCGTAAATATTCAACAGAAACATATCTTAAGTACGCTACTTAAAAAAGGCTATTTAATCTTTTTCTTTATTCCTTTATAAATGTGTTTGCAAAAATAATGCATTTAAAATTAACATAATGCATTTGTTCATAAGATGTGAGCATATCACCAAACAAAATGACTGGAGTCTTTTATTAAGCAAAGGGAGATGTCTTTCAAGGGCTTCAGCCCTTGGCATATTTAGTGTCCGCATACGCACTAGAAAATCAAAACAATTCAGTAGGCCACACAAGTGCAAAGTTTGATGTGTTTTATTTTGTCAAACTTGCAATAATGGTCAAAAATGAATTTATATAGGTTGACTGACAGAGGGAGCTGACAGTGTGTTAAAGAATTATGGACAGGGCGCTTTGAAGCATCTGGTTCAAAAACGCATTCTGAACCTTTGGTAGAAATCCATCTATCCTTCCATTTTCTGTACACCCTGTCCCTTAGTGGGGTCGGGAGGTGCTGGTGCGGGGTCCACCCTAGACAGGTGGCCAGTATGTCCAGACCTTTGGTAGAAATGGCGCCTTTAATTCCAATTTGCAGTACAGAACAGAGAAAACTACAGAGTTGTCAATGTTGTGTTAATCTGTTTATAGTGTAAAAAGAGGAGCCAGCAGTTTATTTGAGGAAATAAAGATGCAGAAGTTAATTAGTTGGTTAATTAGTGGTTGTGCAGCAGTCCGCTGCACGACCAATGCGGCCGCCGCTGCTAAGAATTAGAATTAATTCTCCCTGTGGTTAACTTACGATCAGGAGCGCGGCAGGTATAACATCTGTCCATTTAGGCGAATCAAAACCATGCAAAAAATAAAAAATCCTCGTAAAATGCACGCCCAGACCGGGCTAATTTCAACACAAGTTGTGTTAGGTGACTGTTACTCACACTGACGTTTCTCTTTAAAAAAATCTGAGTAAGTCCTACTGCTGTTTCAGCCTTTAAGTTGGTGGTGGCATTGTACTGAAATGAGATATATAAAAAAAAAAAAACATTTTGGCTAGCGTGGCAAACGTCTAGAGAAAGTTAGCAGTTAAATATTGGATGAGTGATCAGCCCAAGACTACGGAAGAGGATTAGGGCCACTGGAGAAAAAAAAATTAAGTGATTTTTACATTTTATTTCAGTTTAATATGGGAAAAAAGTCAGAATTCTGACTTTTATTTTCAGAATTAAGACTTTTTTTCTCAGAATTCTGACTTTAATCTCAGAATTCTGACTTTTTTTCTCAGAATTTTGGATCTTAATGTAGATGGGCACCATGAAGGCAGAGATGTGGAGCACTCAGCTTCACTGACAAAGATGTGAGTTGTTTGAGAGAGCCAGTGACACATTGGTGGAAAATGACAGAATTAGGCAACTTTTTACGTTCCCGAGGGGTCCCCTCATTAATGGAGGAGCAGAGGGTCATTAAACAAGAGAGCTAGTCTCTAAAAGAGACATGGCTATGGCTTGATGCTAACATGTTTGTTGTTAAACATACTTTTGTTATATTACATTTGTGTTGTGTTTTCCAAATAGTGTAGAAAATTAATGGTGGGTTTATAATGTTTACCTTTTATGAGCAGGACAGGAAGCAGAGAAGTGTAGCATTACCTCCAACTAGTTAAACTCATAATTATGAAGTTATTCAACAAATTCCTCAAGTTAAAAAGTGCAACTTTTTTATTTTTATTTTTTAACAGATTTGTTGATTAATTCCAAAATTATGTATTCCTTCCAAATTTCCAAATCTGAAGAATTTTTTAAACCAATATCTACATTATTTAACATTTAGTTTATGTTTTAGCAGTACTTCCTGTTATATTTCTTTATACGTATATTTTACATTTTCTTGCACAGCAAGCTCAGCAGATTTGAAATTGTGTGCTTGTGTAAACACAAGTAGTCAATCTTTACTCTAAACATATATTCTGATTATTTTTTAGTTAGACCTTCTTGTTTTTATATATCTGTATAGCACCCCCCCCCCACCAAAAAAAAAACTGTAAATTGATTAGAAATATTAATCATCTGTCAGATTTCTGAGAAAAAAGTCAGAATTCTGAGATTAAAGTCAGAAATCTGAGAAAAAAGTCAGAAGAAAAAAGTCAGAATTCTGAGAAAAGTCAGAATTCTGACTTTTCTGACTTTTCCCCCCATGTTAAACTAAACAAAAAATTAAAAATCAGTTAACTTTTTTCAGTGGCCCTAATCCTCTTCCTACAATTCAATTCAATTCAGTTTATTTATATAGCGCCAAATTCACAACACATGTCATCTCAAGGCACTTTACAGTTCAACCACAAGACTAAGATGACTAAAGTGAACTGACAACAAGACGTTATAAATAGGCAATATTCATAGCAGCATTCCCGACAGACCATTTTACCTCATTAACAAGTTTCTGACTTTCTGTATCGCTGTTTCCCTCCTTTCTGAGTGCTCAAACACTCAACAGTTCACAGAGGGGAGGGGGAGTACAGTGACGTAACGCTATGCTGCGCCTTCAAAATAAAAGCACGATAGTTAAAAAATTGTCAAAATCTAATATTTTGCGGTACAATTTTTGGGGGGGACATATCCACCTGGCTTTTATATTGGGGGGGACATGTCCCCCCCGTCCCCCCCGCTTCCTACGCCGCTGGATGGATGATGGATGGATGGATGGATGGATGGATGGATGGATGGATGGATGAGGGATGGATGGATGGATCTTGGATGGGTGGATGGATGGATGGATGGATGGATGGATGAGGGATGGATGGATGGATCTTGGATGGATGGATATTTGATGGATGGATGGTTGGATGGATGGATGGATATTTTATGGATGGATGGTGGGATGGATGGATGGATGGATGAATATTTGATGGTTGGATGGATGGATGATGGATGATGGATGGATGGATGGATGGATGGATGGATGGATGGATGGATGGATGGATGGATGGATGGATGAGGGATCGATGGATGAGGGATGGATGGATGGATCTTGGATGGATGGATGGATATTTGATGGTTGGATGGATGGTTGGATGGATGGATGGATGGATGAATATTTGATGGTTGTATGGATGGATGATGGATGATGGATGGATGGATGGATGAATATTTGATGGTTGGATGGATGGATGATGGATGATGGATGGATGGATGGATGGATGAGGGATCGATGGATGAGGGATGGATGGATGGATCTTGGATGGATGGATGGATATTTGATGGTTGGATGGATGGTTGGATGGATGGATGGATGGATGGATATTTGATGGTTGGATGGATGGATGGATGGATGGATATTTGATGGTTGGATGGATGGATGGATGGATGGATGGATATTTGATGGTTGGATGGATGGATGGATATTTGATGGTTGGATGGATGGATGGATGGATGGATGAATATTTGATGGTTGGATGGATGGATGGATGGGTGGATGGATATTTGATGGTTGGATGGATGGATGGATGGATGGATGGATGGATGAATATTTGATGGTTGGATGGATGGATGGATGAATATTTGATGGTTGGATGGATGGATGGATGAATATTTGATGGATGGATGAATATTTGATGGTTGGATGGATGGATGGATGGATGGATGGATGGATGGATGGATGGATATTTGATGGTTGGATGGATGGATGGATGGATGGATGGATGAGTGATGGATGGATGAGGGATGGATGGATGGATGGATGATGGATGGATGGATGAGGGATGGATGGATGATGGATGGATGGATGAGGGATGGATAGATGGATCTTGGATGATGTATGGATGGATGGATGGATGGATGGATGGATGGATGGATTTCCAGGTGGTCTTCTGACCTTAGATAGACACCAACTCACTACTGGACTCACAAATTTGCTTTCCTCTTTTGAAATTCTCTCCTTCAGGCAAACTGTTGAGAACACGAACAGTAATTCAGGCCCCTCAAGGTGATGGGAGGCCATGTCCGTCTCAGATGAAACAATGGAAGCCTTGTCTGGTCAAACCCTGCTACAGCTGGCGATACAGCCCCTGGTCTGACTGCAAGTCAGAGGTAACAAACTCTTCATCTTTTCTCATTGCAATGTGTTGGTCTGGACTTTATTAAGGAGTATCAGAGAAAAGGGGAGTAAACTGAAAAAAGAATCACTGGTCTTTCATACAGGACCATTTCCCTTACTCAGAATGCTAATCTATAACACATCACCCAGTTAGAAATTAGGAGTTTAAATAAGAGAATGTGAAAGGTTAAAGGTCAGATCGAGAAGCAGCCCAACAGATGTGGATAATTTTACGCCGTGGCGGGAAACACAGACACTCAGACTGATTAGTTTGTTCGGCTGACTTATATATTCTATATTGAGGAGAGAGAAGCAATCCGACTGCCAGCTGGAGAATCCAGGAACTTCTTGAGATTAAACTGAGGAGGTGAGGTTGGAACTCGGGCAACCAGTGGGTATTAACCCACGGCATCACGAGGAGAGAGGATTCAGAGCTAGGTCTTCAAAAGGAGGATCCACAGAGTCACGAGGAAACCCCTGAGGAAAAGGCAGACAATGAGATACTATCACTTATGGCAGTCTACAGGGAAAGTCACAGAGAGTGTCTCCCTGGGAGGCTAGAGTACCATAACTGGCAAACACTCAGGCAACAAGGTGCTGGCAGTCTGCTTCCTCTTAACTCTGGATGATTAAACTACCGTTCAAAAGTTTGGGGTCACCCAAACTATTTTGTGTTTTCCTGAAAAGTCACACTTATTCACCACCATACGTTGTGAAATGAATAGAAAATAGAGTCAAGACATTGACAAGGTTAGAAATAATAATTTGTATTTGAAATAAGATTTTTTTTTACATCAAACTTTGCTTTGGTCAAAGAATCCTCCATTTGCAGCAATCCCAGCATTGCAGACCTTTGGCATTCTAGCTGTTAATTTGTTGAGGTAATCTGGAGAAATTGCCCCCCACGCTTCCAGAAGCAGCTGCCACCAGTTGGATTGGTTGGATGGGCACTTCTTGCGTACCATACGGTCAAGCTGCTCCCACGACAGCTCAATGGGGTTCAGATCTGGTGACTGCGCTGGCCACTCCATTACCGATAGAATACCAGCTGCCTGCTTCTGCTCTAAATAGTTCTTGCACAATTTGGAGGTGTGTTTAGGGTCATTGCCCTGTTGTTGGATGAAATTGGCTCCAATCAAGCGCAGTCCACTGGGGATGGCATGGTGTTGCAAAATGGAGTGATAGCCTTCCCTATTCAGAATCCCTTTTACCCTGTACAAATCTCCCACCTTACCAGCACCAAAGCAACCCCAGACCATCACATTACCTCCACCATGCTTAACAGATGGCGTCAGGCATTCTTTCAGCATCTTTTCATTTGTTCTGCGTCTCACAAACATTCTTCTTTGTGATCCAAAAACCTCAAACTTGGATTCATCCGTCCACAACACTTTTTTCCAGTCTTCCTCTGTCCAATGTCTGTGTTCTTTTGCCCATCTTAATCTTTTTCTCTTATTGGCCAGTCTCAGATTTGGCTTTTTCTTTGCCACTCTGCCCTGAAGCCCAGAATCCTGCAGCCGCCTCTTCACTGTAGATGTTGACACTGGTGTTTTGCAGGTACTATTTAATGAAGATGCCAGTTGGGGACCTGTGAGGCGCCTGTTTCTCAAACTAGAGACTCTAATGTAGTTATCTTCTTGCTCAGTTGTGCAACGCGGCCTCCCACTTCTTTTTCTACTCTGGTTAGAGCCTGTTTGTGCTGTCCTCTGAAGGGAGTAGTACACACCGTTGTAGGAAATCTTCAATTTCTTAGCAATTTCTCGCATGGAATAGCCTTCATTTCTAAGAACAAGAACAGACTGTCGAGTTTCAGATGAAAGTTCTCTTTTTCTGGCCATTTTGAGCCTTTAATTCACCCCACAAATGTGATGCTCCAGAAACTCAATCTGCTCAAAGGAAGGTCAGTTTTGTAGCTTCTGTAACGAGCTAAACTGTTTTCAGATGTGTGAACATGATTGCACAAGGGTTTTCTAATCATCAATTAGCCTTCTGAGCCAATGAGCAAACACATTGTACCATTAGAACACTGGAGTGATAGTTGCTGGAAATGGGCCTCTATACACCTATGTAGATATTGCACCATAAACCAGACATTTGCAGCTAGAATAGTCATTTACCACATTAGTGATGTATAGAGGGTATTTCTTTAAAGTTAAGACTAGTTTAAAGTTATCTTCATTGAAAAGTACAGCGCTTTTCCTTCATAAATAAGGACATTTCAATGTGACCCCAAACTTTTGAACCGTAGTGTATGTGATGAAGAACAGGTGAGCAGAGAGAGCCCCTCCAGGTGCAGCCTCAAGTCGCCATCTAGTGGATGAAGGTGTAAACAGCAGGCAAAGAGGAAGAAACTCACAAGGAGGAACAGTTCCCAACACTTTAGAGGCAGGCCAAAAAAAAATGATTGTGAAAGTGCAGCCCTATTGAAAAATATTTTAAAATAATTCTGTATTAATGTATCTACCAACATGAAGAGGCATTATTTTCCCTGCTTTAGAGAAAAGATATCATCTCAAGAAAGGGAATAATAGTGTTGAAGAAATGAAGAACATCACAGAAACTTCTGAGTCATTTTCATAAAATGTGACCTAGATGATTTATTTTTTAATACCTTCCTTTCTTTTAATAATAAATCAGGATCAGGTACTCTCTGCTTTTTTTTTACCAAATCTTCTTTCTTTTTTTGATTATAAAAAATAAAGTTATTGCACATTACTGCTTTCCTAACTGTTTCTGATAACATGAGCCATCCAAGGTGTAAAACGTTTTCAGCAGTTCCTGTGTTCTGTCTTCCATCAGGGGGCGAGGTGTGGGGAAGGCATGCGCTTCAGGAATGTGTCCTGCTTTGTGTCGGACGGTTCAGGTCAGCAGGACAGCAGCCTGGTTGATGATGAGCTGTGTGGAGATGTGGAGCTCTCAGTGGACGGAGATAAACAGATTATTCTCCAGGAGCCTTGCACCGTGCCCTGTCCAGGTAGATTAACCACACATTAAACAAACTCATTCTGACTTATTTGTTTTTATATTGAAATCAAACAATTTTTCTATAAATAAACATAAAGTATCAAAGTGAGTATTTCTACTCTGGCATAATTGAAATAAAGACAAATACGTGCATTCAGTGCCCTTATCCAAACAGAAGATTCTTTCACACTTTTTAGATATTTGATAAATTTAACATGAAATTAATGAAATTATTAATTCAAAATTAAATTAAAAATACAACTCAACAGTAGAATTGTTTTTAGACTTAAGCTGAGAAGACAGATAATAGATAGAGATGAGTTGAGAGCAATTCAATTCAGTTTTTTTCTATAGCTCCAATTCACATCATGTCATCTCAAGGAACTTTCCAGTTCACCAGATCATCCAGTCAGATTGATTCAAAGTTTTCTATCTAAGGAAAACCAGCTGATTGCATCGACTCATTGACTCTTCAGCAATCCCTCACACTAAGCATGCTTGTGTGACAGTGGAGAGGAAAAACTCTTTTAACAGGAAGAAACCTCCAGCAGAACCAGGCTCAGTGTGAGCGGCCATCTGCTGAGGCCCACTGGGGTTCAAGGAGACAGAAGCAGACATAGAAAAAGAAGCATAGATACAAAAGGCAACTGTCAACCAGCTTCACAGGCGGCCCCGTCCAGGAAACTAACAGCCAGGCAGACGAGCTCCGAGCCAGCTCCCATGTCAGAGGATGAAGAGAGCACATCCAGTTAGTCACAGTCAGAGAAACAGGAGTACACTGAAAAAGAGGCCAAGCTTCAACATCTAGAAACAAAGGTGCCAAGGGCACAGCCAGCATCTCTCTAGGACGGTGCCACAAACAAACAGGAACAGACCAGGCAAAGCCACCATGAGAAAAATGTTGGATCATTACAAAATGAGAAACGTAACAAACATAACTAATTCGTTTTTAATCATATAAAGAACATTTAAAAAAACATCTCAAAAATGGTTTCAGGTATTGAATATTTTTCTGGGTATTAATAAAAATCTTAGCATGATGACAATCACAATAATTTGATCCCTGAGTTGTGTTTTATTTGGCCCCTGTCCTCATTTAGATTCATAAATCTCAGGCAAATTATAAAAATCTACTAGAAAGAAACTGAAGTATGTTTATGGTGACTTAGAAAGACATAAACCAACATTTTGGTCTCTTACTGTTTTACAATGTGCATCAATGACAACATGCTGTTTTATTTCTTTCCTGTAAAAACTGCCCCTTGTTTGTTTGCCTTGTCGTAGGAGAATGCTACCTGACAGAATGGACTGCCTGGGGTCCATGCCAGTTAAGCTGTGTGAGCGGGGATGACCTGGGTTTTGGCTCAGTCCAAGTCCGATCCAGAACTGTAGTCGCTCAGGATCCTGAAAACCTGCTTGAGTGTCCTGAACAAGAACTGGAGGCACGGCCGTGCACAGGTCAGTGGATACGCTTGTTACAGCAGAGCAGGAATAAAAACATCAAACTTAGCTTTTTGAAATGAAAACTTGGGATAAGTTAGCGTCCAATCGATGGACTGATCTACGTTAAAACTACAAAGCATTTTTTTTTTACATTTAATTGTTTATTAGTATTTTTTTCACAGTTGTTTACATATACAATGTACATGAACACTTCACATTCAACATAACATGTCCACAAATCATGACAGAAAGGTTATTTTCGTACAAAGATTGATGTTTAAAAAGGAATTGTAGGGGACCAGCCAAGGAAAGTGGGGAAATATTGAATGGCTACTTCTGTAAAGCGGATCAACCAGAGGATCCAGAAATCAACAAACATTCTCTGATGGAGGCTAGAAGGATCACTGAGGACGACACTCAGGGATCAGCTAAGCTTAGCTCCGCCCTCCAGCCAGCAGGAAACCCCAGAAAAGAGAAGAGCACAAGGAGAAACCAGTTAGAGGCTCAGAAATCCATTGTAGAGAGTTTCCATTAGTTTGCTTTGTCACTCACATAGGCTCACACTGAGCCTGGTTCTGCTGGAGGTTTCTTCCTGTTCAAAGGGAGTTTTTCCTCTCCACTGTCGCTACAAGCATGCTTAGTGTGAGGGATTGCTGAAGAGTCAATGAGTCGATGCAATCAGCTGTTTTTCCTTAGAAAGAAAACTTTGAATCAATCTGACTGGATGATCTGGTGAACTGGAAAGTGACCTGAGATGACATGATGTGAATTGGAGCTATAGAAATAAACTGAAGTGAATAAAAGTAGAAGTTTGATACATTTTACTCTGATTCTGTAACACGTAACATAAAGTCTTTAAGATTGACTAAAGATTTAATGATCCTGCGTGGAGTTTGGGTCGTTAATCAGGCATAAAGATCAAATGACTTAACAAATGCTAAATGAATTAGCAGCGAACCGATGCAGGTGAAATTAGCTAATCAGGTTATGTGTCGCCAGGTGGAACTTGTTTTGAATACAAGTGGAGGACTGGACCATGGAGAGGCTCGTCTCGTCACGTATGGTGCCAACGCTCTGATGGGTTGAATGTCACAGGTAAGAACTAGCTTCTACTGGGGGGTGTCACTACCTGATCCGTACCATCAGCTCATCTGCGCATGTGATACCAGATATTCATCCAAGTAGCCATTGATAATGTAATTATGGTACTAAAGTACTTATTTCTATCCTTAAATCACTAAAGAATGCTAAACTACATCTCTTTTTTATTTTCTTCATTATACTGCTTCTCTGACGTCATCATAGGACATGTTCAAAGTAGTCCGGGAAAATAAGAAAATATGCATTTTAGTAGTTTTTTTCTTGAGATTATGCACTATATGAAATGCAGTGAGATGGCGCTACTCGGACTTGTCTATCCGGAAGCCAAATAGTAGAAGAGGAATATGAAGCTCACTATATGAAGCACACTATAGTGAAACGTGCTGCCTTGGCAATTTGTGCAATTTTGTGCTGAAAGCCCTAAAAGGCGTCGACGTATTTGGACAAAGACTTGGCTGAGCTTACATGGCTACTACGGTCTGTCAGTTTTACAGAAAGAACTCCATTTCACTCGACTCGACTGGATTTCTAACATGTTTGATTTTCTCCTGACCTTATGATTCCTGATGGGGAGGTGGTTGTTAGAGGCTTCTTATAATAGAATAAATTTAATGTTAGTTTATTCATTTGAATGGTTAATGTTCCCTCTTTTGTCCTCAATTTATGGTTAATATGCTAAAAAATAAAATGTCAGATTATTTAGGACATTCCACCTGAGAGCATTACTGCTGCCACCCTCTGGTTAAAAGGCAGGTGGTTAGCCGCGCCCCTGATGGCAGGTGGTTAGCCGCTCTCCTGATGGCAGGTGGTTAGCCCCGCCCCTGACGGCAGGCGGTTAGCCACGCTCCTGATGGCAGGTGGTTAGCCCCGCCCCTGATGGCAGGTGGTTAGCCCCGCCCCTGATGGCAGGTGGTTAGCCTTGCCCCTGATGGCAGGTGGTTAGCCGCGCTCCTGATGGCAGGTGGTTAGCCCCACCCCTGATGGCAGGTGGTTAGCCCCGCCCCTGATGGCAGGTGGTTAGCCGCGCCCCTGATGGCAGGTGGTTAGCCGCGCTCCTGATGGCAGGTGGTTAGCCGCGCCGCTGATGGCAGGTGGTCAGCCGCGCCCCTGATGGCAGGTGGTTAGCCGCGCCGCTGATGGCAGGTGGTTAGCCGCGCCCCTGATGGCAGGTGGTTAGCCGCGCCCCTGATGGCAGGTGGTTAGCCGCGCCGCTGATGGCAGGTGGTTAGCCGCGCCCCTGATTGCAGGTGGTTAGCCCGCCCCTGATGGCAGGTGGTTAGCCGCGCTCCTGATGGCAGGTGGTTAGCCGCGCCGCTGATGGCAGGTGGTTAGCCGCGCTCCTGATGGCAGGTGGTTAGCCGCGCTCCTGATGAGGGGGCTCAAGTCGAATGATGACATTTTTATATTTTGTGTTTTTGCTTTGCAGGAGGGTGTCTGGCAGCAGTCAAGCCAATGGCAGATCGATCCTGTGACCCGCCCTGTACCAAGCCATGGTCTTTGTGCACCGAGGTGAATGCAAACAATTAAAAGATGTCATTACATTCAGTTTATTGAATTAAAATAAGCTGAAGGTATATTGAATGGTGGCCCTCAAAATTTAGTAATCATCATATGCAAAACATTCAGAAAATAATACTGACCAGAAAGAACGTGGATTATTAGATCCATGAAGGCAGAAGGCCTGGGATGTCTCAGAAGGTTTTTTCGTACATTAATAATAAAAAATAATCTAGAAATGACACTTTTTTTGGAGTAACCTTGCTTTTTTGTCATGGTGTTGTTTTCAAATATCACATTCTCTTCGCTTCATGCCCCATCCAAACATTTGCTTCCAGCAGACCAATAGCAACATGTCCTGGCACCTCACTCCAGAGGAATGCCCCATCCCCAGAATTTGAGGGAATGGCTGCCTCCGAAGGCCCGCTCTAATTCCTATATAGGTCACTATATAGTGGTTACGCCATTTTAAATGAGTGTCCGAACGTCTAGTGGATGAAAAAGTAGTGGACTCAATATTTCCCACACTGCACCTTGAGAAGTGGTGATCATCTATGGTCACTAAAGGAGAAGATATCTCCCAGAATACTTTGCGAGAGCTCTCCTTGCAAAGCATTATGGGATTTGTTGTGGCAGTGACAAATAACAGAGATGGCACAGTTATGTGACCGAAGGATAGTGAAAAGTAGTGATCATCTGTCCAAACAGTTAACTGAGTTCACTATTAAGTCCACCATCGGTTCCCCGCTCTATAAAGTGATGGAGGGATTTAGGGGGTTAGGGCGGACGTTCAGACAGGCTTAGTGAGCTGGAAAATTCAGTTTGAGAAGTTACATTTGTAAAAGTAAATCTGAAAAACTGAAATTTGAGAAAAACGAAAATGTAAAATCTGTAAAATCATTGGAAAAAAGTATAATATGAAAAAAAAAAATAATTTGATAAACATTTTTCAAAGCTTAATTTCTGGATTGCATTTATTTGTTGCAATTTACAATACGCATTTTTGTTATTTCCATTTAGAATACATGGTCTATGATTGCCAAAAAAACGGAACAAATGTCCCTTCATATTAATGCTGAGTGCTGAAACCCAGCAGCTTCAAAGATGAACCTTTAATAACAAAACACAGACGGGGAAGCATGGGGCAAAGAGAAGAAGGGGCGGGGCTTCAGCTCAACAGCGAGAGTAGATTGATGAGGTCACTCTAGAAAATAATTTTAATCTCAATTAATTTTGTTTTCACCAGATTTAATAAAGAAAAATAATAAACAGTTGTTGAGTGACTGCTAGGTGTTTGGAAGCAGTGCGACGACATGAAGACGTTCGCAAACAGCCGACCTCCTGCTGTGTTAAACAAAGCAGAGAACAATAAAAGTACTGAAGGAAAAGGTCGACTCAACTTGTTTCATATTTTCCCCCAAACCTTTGGGATAAAACACCATCTTCAGCATAAGGTTTCCTCCTCCTCTGTATTCGTGGCTGTCTTAAAATAATCTCAATCCCCTGGATTGAGATTATACCCTTCACCTGCCCAAACTCAAATACACATGTTCAGATTAAAAAATAGGATTTTTCTAAAAGAGATTACTTACTCTCCCATAATCTAATGTTTTCAAGCCCTGATCAGTATTTATATCTAAAGGACTCCTATTTTACTTATCTTTTTTAGATTGTTTTTCAATTCAAGATTCATCATTTTCACCCAAATAGAGCTAATATCCATCCTTTTTCACACCCCTTCCGTCTCCCATGGATGCACATTTATCTGAATGTAGCGTTAGCAACATTAGCAGTTAGCCGTGGCTGGTTAGCCATCGCTTCCTGGTCTCTGACACAGCAGGTAAAAGGCTGAGTTGCTAAAAAGCCACCTGGTGCAATAGGGGGTTTTCAGGTGACGTTACGCTCACGTGACTACTCAGCGCGTCCGCCATATTGGGTGGCAGCCTTAGGCAGTATTGACAGTGAAAAATGGTGAAATCGTGTGTAATTGTTGGTTGCACGGCCCGTGGAGGTGGAGATCAACGCTCTTTCTATCGCATACCAGCCGTAATCGTGAATCAATGTGAAAAAACAAAACAGCTATCTGAACAACGCCGTCACCTATGGCTGACACGGATATCCAGGTCCGATTTGGACGGTGTTAAGCTGGAATACGCCAGAGTCTGCAGTGCTCACTTTGTCACAGGTAATTAACTGTCAAGCATTTAAAACATGTAAGAATACATTAATAATAGGGCTTGGGCGTCATGACGTATTACTTTCCGTGGCCTCAATGTTGACTGCCTCCGCCGCCGCTACTCAGACTACTGCCTATGACTACCGCATACTGGACTCCCTCTCTCAGCCGTGTTTTAATTTGATTAATATCACCTTAACTTGATTTCAACCAGCAGGAAAAGGCTCAAATATGTGAGAAACCCGGAGGGTTTAGGGAGGTTTGGCAGTTAACATTACTAACCAAACCTTTGAAACACATAGCAGCTAGTTAAAAGTACATTACATGCCTGAGTGGTTGTTAGCACTAACGGTTAGCACTGTTTGCTGGCTTTATGAGCTGCAGCTCCTGAACTCATCCATTCGTAAACTGCACATGAGACTCCAAGGACTTGTAGCTTTGGAACTGTTCGCGCACCGCCGGCCGTTAGCCACCTAGCATAGCGAGCCCTGCGTCGGATTGTTTACATTTTTACCATCTTATTAAAACTCACCCGTCCACGTATGATGGCGATTTCCTTCATGTACATTATTTGGACATCTCGTACCCAACCAGATGTGAACTGGTTGTGCGCCTCTAGACCCTTGTACGCTCTCATTTCCTCCAGAGTGTGCAGAGGGTTTTCACTGAACACCAGGTAATATACTATGTCGCCATGCTCTACATTTGGCCAATCATCTGGATTAGTGCTAAACAAGGCACCGTGGAGGGCATAGGGGTCCATATGGTCGATCACGGAACATTTCCTCAGATATGTTCCATGATCTGGTGGCTCTAGCGTGCTGGCGTACTTATCCATTCGCGACATGATATATATGATATACGATAATATGCCACCCAAGATGGCGGACCGGAAGCTGGCCAGTGACGTCACTGAAAACCCCCTATTGGTCCCACTCTGAGCTACTGTTCAATTAAATCTCTACATAGTGTATATCTTACTCCAGTTGTTGCGATAACTCTGAAAGAGTCAATGTTTGACACTGCATGTGGAATTTACTGCAGGTGAGATTGGTGGAATAGAGACAGGAGTGTAGATAGTCCGTCATGCTAATGTTAGCACTATTTAACAAATGAAGTCAGTCATAGAGGAGAAAAAAACTGCGCTTCAGGGAAACTCTGCTTATGTGGGCTCAACAAAATCTTTCCCTTTTAGCTGCAGCCCAACACCAACACACCCCCATGATTGGATGTTTAAAAAGCTCTAGGCTACATTCACACTGCAGGCATTAATGCTCAATTCCAATTTTTTTGTGAAATCCGATCTTTTGTGAGGTCATTCACATTTCCAAATATATGTGACTTGCATTTAAACAACTTACAGTAGCAGCCATTCTAATTGGCCCTTCCTAGTTAAATGCCAGCCGAATTGCAGCCTCCTTCCCTGCAACTCCCAGCAAAATCCCCTCCAACTTCCAGCAACTGGTCTTCTCCTGGGCGTGCCTTTTTGTTTTACTCTGACTCCTCCCTTTCACTGAAGTACAGGGTCTGACCAGGAGATGACACTTCTCTTTAGATCTTAATGTCCACAAATCATGACAGAAAGAATATTTTAGTACAAAGATTCATGTTTAAAAAGGAATTGTAGGGGACCAGCCAAGGGCCCATCAAGCATAGTAGGGAAATTTTGGATGGCTACTACTCTGAGTGTCCCGCATGTGCGGTAGAGGAAACAATGACGTCACAGGTAGCGAACATGCTCTGTATTTACGGATGTAAACATGGATGGTAGTGCTGGAGCGCATCTAGTGATATTTCATTTAATTTCTTTCCCAACCTCAGCCAGTGCATTAACACCACCATCTTTATAAGAGGGTTGAAAATAAAGACTACTCTCCCCATTATCATCCGCAATGGTTTTTGTTTTTCTTCCTGCTTCTTTGTAGCAAGATGCAGAATAGTGACCTGTGTCGGGTATTAATGGCGTTCAGGTCGGATGGATGCGACCTGGCCGTACAGGTGCAGGTCGCATTTGAAAAGATCGGATTCGAATCGGATTCAGGACCACAGAGCTAAGTGGCCTCGGTCGCATTGGAAAGAATTGGATCTGTGTTGTTCAGACTGTTGTGGTCGCAAAATTTAGATTTCTCTTATTTCATATATTGATTTATGTTATTTACTATAAAATGTTCACCTGCAAGGCCACACAATGCCTGAGTAAGGAGTGTTAGTAGACAAGGCTTACTTCTTCCCATAACAAGCCAGATTCTTTCTCAAGGTTTATTCATAACATGTTACTGTTTAACCAAAGTGTCTGTAGATTGTTTTCTACTCTGACAACTTTCCGAACGCTGCCCAGGCAGAACAGGGCTGATTACCGAGGGCTGTATGATAAACTGTTCTGTCTTTGCAAGATAAAAAGAAAGTGCTGACTGAGTGATCCCAATTTATTTAACTGGAGCAAATAGTTGAATATTTTTTTAATACTACACTGTCATGAAAAGATCTGATACAGGTCGCATATGGGAGAAAAAAAATCACTCTGCCCTAATATAGATGGATAGATGATTTTCTATCATTTTTCCATCATTTCTGTCCTTCGCCTGCTTCATTGGACCAACAAACATCGGCTCTTCCCTTTTGTCCCTTATTTCCCCTAACCTGCCGGTTATTAAGCTGCCGTCTTCATGTTTTCCACTTGTCTGCTAAGAAATATTCTTTCTATAGAGCCGTAGTTCTGAGGCCCATGCAGTGTTTCCCTGCAGGCGGTAGACCAGCAACTCTGTGGTTAATCCTCATGCCAGCACTTCCCTGTTATCCCCTCTTGCTGCTTGGCACTGCTTATAATAGCTGACATGACCACATAACACCTTATGCTACTTAAGTCACTTAGACCGGATTGTGTCAGGTTCTGGCGCAATCCTGCTGTTTTACTGTCACTCTGCTAAGGCTTGACGAACGACAGTTTAAGTTGTTTGCAAATATCTAAACAACAAAGAGCTTAAGATCAGTGCAGTGTCATTTTCGGTTTTACAAATCTGAGCCACATGCAGAGAAACCACTCATAGAGCCCGGAAAAAGTTTAACAGGTTTATTGAAGGAGTTACAGGGGTGGATCTGGAACTCAGAGAGCTGGTGACCCGGAACTGGAAGTGAGAAGGGAAGTCCAATGGTCAGTTCAGGTTCTGTGGGAATCTTCGAAGCTCAGATATTTAGCGTGGTTTGGAACTCACGTTTGAGGGGGGGGCTTGTTAGTCCTTGAATCCAGACTGTGTGGTGAATCCAGAGTTAGGTGCACACGTTGGAGGGCAGACAGGTTTGATTAGCGTAGGACCCGGAGGAGTAATGGAGTGGACTGTCACTCGGATTTCTGATGGGAACTTGAACGGAACATGTGGAGGTTTTCCCCTGCTCAGTGTAACTGGGTTTATCCTTCCAGGGGAGAGAAGGTCCAGGTATCCAGTAACATAGGAAAGCTTCCTCCCGAGTTAGACTCAAACAAATCTAGATTAGACTCAGCTAAACTCACCTTGGCTAGATTACCCAAAACTGGCAAACACTCTGGCGTCGAGGTAGTGACAGCCCACTGCTCAAATACTCCTCCAGATAATAATCCAACGAGCCGCAGGTGTGCAGGGAGGGGCAGCGAAGACAGGGCACCTCCTGGTGGTAAAAAACACACAAACAGGCCACACAAACTGGATTCCTAACATGCAGAATCTGAATACCTTTTATTTAGAGGATAGTTTCCAACCCTGGATAATGATTGAATTCAATAAACCAGAAATGTCAGGGTGTCTCTGTCAGCTCACACACATACAGTAAAGAGAGGAGGGTAGAAGCGGACTTAGACTGCAGCGCCACATCTCTCCAATCAATCAAAAAAACAGGTTTACATATAGTAAACTATCATTTCAAGTGGAAACCATTATCTGCTCTGCTTCGATCCAAAAGAAAATCCTCTCGTAAAGGTTGTGGCGTTTAGCGCTCATTAAAAGTCAATGGGGACGATTTCCTGTAGGGGGCAGCGTAGCTCCGACTGAGATAGAGCCCAGGTCTATTTTAGTAGGACTACGCAGCAATTCAGCAGCAATTTCATGGGTCTGACAGCAAGAAAGACGCGGTTACAAAGTAAAACACATCCGCTTTGGAGGAACATACAAAATAAAATCTGTTAATCTCACGTGGAAAGAGTCATTTTGGAGTCACACATCGCCTTTTTTAGTAAGCAGGACAGACTGGAGCAAAAACAATGAATGAAACATTAAAATAGAAAACTTTCCCCATGATAGGAGTTCAGGAGGACAGAAAACAGATAAAGTAGTGATCCTCTTAGCAGCTAGTTACAGCGCATCTCTCTCGCCTCTTTATGGAAAAAAGAAAGAAAAACTTGGAGAAACTTCCCAGATCTCTCTGAGAATCACCTCTCAGTCACCATAGAAACCGTCCCACGTCAATTATTGCTGCGTTTTTCTTTTCTTTAGATCTCATTATGTTTTTAACAGATGAACATTCTCTATCTGTTCTGGTTCTAGATGCTGCACAGTGTCGTTAAGTGCAGCTTTGCTTTATAGAATGTACAGGTGGTTTTATTTTTTTAAATAACTTTTCATAATCTATTCCGTCAAATGTGGGAAATTGTTTTAATGTGTTTATAGCAAATAGACAGAAGTGAAAATAATCTGCAAAGATCTGCTAATCCTGCCTAGTCTGAGCTTCTCTATACAGTCTGTGTGACATGGAAGAAAATCCAATCTGAGATTAAAGAGCCGTTTCAACCAGTGTGTTCAGGATTTTAAACCAATGCTTTATGTGTGTCATCTCTACTAAAAGTCGGTTTTCACTCTGAGGCTAAAGTGACTTTGACTGAAACTTTCAAAAGAGCCTCATGGAAACAGTTTAAAGCTAATTGTAATTTCCACTTACTAAATGTCTGTTTCCTATAACCCAGGGTTTAGAATTGTAATGTTATTCTGTCTGCCAGTGGAGATTCTCAGTCATCCAGGTCATAATCATTCCAAAAAGGTTAAAAACAATCCACTGGACTTTGTTTCCAGTGTTTCCAGGAAACGTTTTTCAATTCAAAATGTCAGAAATAGTGTTGAGTTGCTTTATAGAGTAGCCCTTTAACGACCCCCTTTCAGAGACATAGACAGGTATGGGGCATTACAGGCAAACAAAAGAAGCCAAACGACCCCCATTCCAAAGGGGTGGACCCGTTCATCCGTTTCTATTTGCATGTTTTCTAAACTATAACCAGGTTTTGTTGGGCTGCTGGATAAAACCTGGAACTAAACGCTATTTCTGACATTTTAAATTGAAAAATCTTCCTGGATGGAAGAGAAACGTCTTCAAACTTGGAAACAGAGTCTAGTGGATTGTTTTTTTTTACTTCTTTGTTATTCTGTCCTACAGAAATGTGCAAAAAAAGAGAAAAAATGTGTCTCTTTTAAGATCAAAGTAAACTTCAAACTTTGAAGGATTGGTATTTTTCAATTTATTCATTTGAACCCATTTAGTTATAGTTTAAAATTGACTTTAATTAAAACCTCATCAATCCAAAGAAAACAGTGCATGAACTCCCACCAGTGGAATGCCACGGAAAACCACTTTTAATAAATCCTGATCAGCACATGAGCATCTTAGGATTTTTTGTTGTTTACACACAGTTTCATGCTTGATAAAGTAACATGTTTCTGTTAAACCTGTACTGCTTTAGGCAGGTGTGTGCGGCTGTGAAGAGGGCTACACCGAGGTGATGACGTCCGACGGTGTGTTGGATCAGTGCACCGTCATCCCGGTCCTGGAGATCCCCACTGCAAGCGACACCAAAGCGGACGTGAAGACGATCCGAGCGTTCAGCCCCATCCAGCCTGCAGCCAGTGCCCCGGGCAGAGCGGGCAGAACCTGGTTCCTGCAGCCGTTCGGTCCAGGTAACTCCATCGCTCTCTACCTGCTGGGCAGATTTCAGATCAAAGCCGTCAAATTTTAACGACCATTACTATTAATTGGATGAAGGCTGACCCTCCTACGATCTCTCAGTGGATACAGAAAGTAAAAAACATGATGGAATATATGTGGCTGCCCAGTTACAGCTAAAAGTACCTGGATTCATGAGAAGATCGACCCAAGTTACTGAATATCTGGCTTAAGACCTGGTTTGGAGTACAGAACTAGATAAGATATGTGCTATACCCTTTACACTATTGCTCTCACTGGAAAAAATGGAAATCTAGATAAGTATTTTTTTCTTAAAATAAGTGCATTTGTTCTTGAATTGAGGATATAAAAGAGACATCTTGCCAATGGAACAAGACGATTTACACTTAAAATAAGAAAACACAATTGGTTTGTCTTATTTCAAGTGCATATTATCTAATTATCTTAATTTAAGAGTAAAAACACTCATTCCATTAGCAAATCATCTCATTTACCTGCTCAAATTAAGGCTAAATACACTTAATTTAAGAAATTTTTACTCATTTCTAGATTGTCGGACAGATTAGCACTAATACGAATGATTAATTAATTAATTTATTTAATTTTTCTATCTGTCTGTTTTATTATGTTCCTCTTTGTTATTCTAATTGCCTGTTATTCTGCATTTAAGGCAAAAAAGTAAAAAACAAAAAAGTACATCCAGAGAAAACAAAAAAGAGAGAAAATTTTCATTTGGAGCAGAAGGAAGAATAAAGGGCTGCCCAGTGCCGTGCAGCAAGATGGTTCTGGGTTCCATTCTGGGGTATTTCTGCATGGAGTTTCCATGTTCTCCCTGAGCATGCCTGGGTTCTCTCAGGGTGCTCCGACCTCCTCCCACAGTCCAAAAACATGACTATTAGGTTAATCGGGTTCTCTAAAAGTCCCGTTAGGTGTGAGCGCGTGTGTGTGTGAATGGTTTGTCTCTGTGTTGCCCTGCGATGGACTGGTGACCCGTCCAGGGTGGACCCCACCTCTCACCCATTCACTGCTGGAGAGAGACACCAGCACCCCTCGTGACCCCACTTGGGATAAGCGTGTTTGAAAATGGATGGATGGAAGAAAAACACCAATGATGATATGAACAATGCATAAAATTACATCTAAATAAGTCATTTTTTCTTAAAATAAGTGCATTTTTTTAATTGAATTATGGATGTAAGTGAGACTAAAACTAAACGGAAGCTTAGGGGGGATCGTGCTTTCTATGTGACAGCTCCGAAAATGTGGAATTACCTTCCAATGAGAAATAAAAAGTCTACCTCTCTGCATGCAATGGAAAAAAACAAAAACAAAATCTAAATAAGTCATTTTTACTAAATTTAAATTAAGTTTCTTAAATTAAATTAACACTTTGCCAAAGGAACAACACAATTTACATTTAAAATAAGAAAAAACAATTGCATTGTCTTATATCAAGTGCATAATATCTAATTACCTTATTTTAAGAGTAAAAATACTCACTCCATTGGCAAATCATCTTATTTACCTGCTCAAATTAAGGGTTAATACACTTAATTTAAGACATTTTTACTCATTTTCAGATCGTTTTTGCAGTGAAGTCCTGTTATAAAGTCAAAAAGTACGCTGATCTATAAATAAATAAGAATGTCTTAAATTAAGCGTATTTACCCTAAATTTGGAATGAGTATTTTTTTATTCTTACAATAAGATAATTAGATAATATCTACTTGCATCAAGACACGCGTTTAATCTTCTTTTAAATATAAATTGTCTTGTTCCATCGACAAAGTGTCTCACTTACCTCCTCAATTCAACAAACAATTCACTTATTTTAAGAAAAAAATACTTTTTTAGATTTAATTGTTTCCAGCGTAAGAATAGATGTTTATAAAATCTTTGCTGGTTTTATGAACTGTGTTTTTGCTGGTTAATTAGGTGTTTTTTTCCCTGATGACACGTTTTGTACCTCCATCACAATGGTTGGAACTACTGAGTGCAGACTGATGAGCGCTAGAAGGATTAACTCTGATTTTAATGCAGATATTTCTTTGTTGATGCGTATTCATTTCTGCACCCAAGGCCTATTGCATCCTTTTAACATCTTCTAGATCTTATTTCTAGAATACCTTACACAGAGCCACATCTAGCTGTGTTTCCATTGACCGTCAAACTGCTCAAATTGAAATAATATGTATAGCACTGGAAAAATGTAAATCTTCTTGAAATAAGTGCATTTGTTCTTGGATTGAGGAAGTAAAAGAAACATTTTGCCAATGGAACAAGACAACTTAGACTTAAAATAAGAAAACACAATTGGTTTGTCTTATTTCAAGTGCATATTATCTAATTATCTTATTTTAAGAGTAAAAACACTCATTCCATTAGCAAATCATCTCATTTACCTACTCAAATTAAGGCTAAATACACTTAGTTTAAGACATTTTTACTCATTTCTAGATTGTTTTTCCAGTGAAGTTTGCCTGATTCAAACATGGCTGCTTCCATCATCCATCTTCTCCCGTTCAACCGTCAGGGTCAGGGTGGGGCTGGTGCCTGTTTCGAGCAGTCTATAGGTGAAGGGTGGGGTCCACCCTGCAGGGAAAACAGCTTATCGATAAATATTTGCTAGTGATATTGTTTGAATTGTAAATGAAATGTAAATCTAAGTTATTTTATCTAAAATAAGTGTATTTTTCTTGAATTAAGCAGTCACTTTGCCAATAAAACAAGATTTTTTTGTTAAAAATTTATTTTTAGAATAAGAAAACACAATTGCATTGTCTTATTTTGAAGTGCCAAGTATCTAATTATTTTATTTTAAGAGAAAAAAATACTAATTCCATTAGCAAATCATCTTATTTTCCTGCTCAAATTATATGGGCCCTTGTTTGTAAACTAAAGCAGTCAAAAAGTAAAGCAACAATTATGGTTATTTAGTGAGTTTTAAAAGAAAAAGAAGAGTGTTATTTTTTTCTCATTCATTTATAAAAATCTTACTTTGGTAAATAAATATTTCGCTTAGAGCTAAATATTTAGTTTGCTAATTAAATATTCAGTTTTTTATACATATTTATAAATAATGAATAACATAGTGAAAAAATATGACTTTGAAAAGATAACCCCTCTATTTTTCTCTTAAAACACACCAAATAACCATAAATATTGCTCCTAATTTTTCACTCCTTAACTTTACAAACGGCGCCCCATAAAATTAATAGTAAATACACTTAATTTAAGAACTTTTTTACTTATTTCTAGATTGTTTTTGCAGTGTATTGTTTGAATTGTATTTAACATTCTAAAAAAATGTAAATATAAGTCATTTTTTCATAAGTATTTTTCTTGATTTGAACACTTTGCCAATGGAACAAGACAATTTGCATTAAAAAAAAAGAAAAAAACTTTGCAGTCTCTTATTTCGAGTGTATCATTTCTAATTGTTTTATTTTTAATGGTAAAAGTGCTAATTCCATTGGCGGATCATAATATCACCTGCTCAAATTAAGCGTAAATACACTTAATTTAAGAAATCTTTACTCCTTTTCAGAACATTTATAAGATCTGCAGAAGAACGCCATGAAACTGTCCATATTTATCAGCAGGAAGGTTTGTTTTAGGGTTATGACTGAAATGATTCTGTGATGGGAAATTAGCTCAGTACTTTCAGAGATCCCACCTCTGTCCAAAGGTTGCTTCTCTAAATGTCTCCATCGTAGCTTTTTCTTATTGTTATACTGTTATTAATAAGGAACAGCCGTGTATAATGTGATGGGTGGGACTATGAACAGGATGGTTGCTTTTATTGATTTTAAAACCTGCTAAAAGGCTTTATATATTAAACTGACAGATGTTTCACCTTTATTTTCCCTTTTTTTAAATACAGTTTTACTCTAATAACCTTCTTTAACTCCCCAACATGTTAAATGGTGAAAAATAATTCAAGCACAAACTCCTTTTCATTAGTTTCAGTAAAGGAGTGCATATCTAACTAACAGTAAGAGCTCTACTGCCCCCTCCAGCTCAAACAGTGAACTGCAGTAGCAGGAAATAACTGTAATCAGTTAATTCTAATAAAACATTTGCATTTTTATCGTAAACACATGTGACTTTCTTGCATAAAATCTCTATTTTTCAGCGTATTTAGAACACCCTGCAGGCCTTTAATAACATGAGTGTTTGTCTCTCTGTGCAGATGGGACCCTGAAGACCTGGGTGTACGGAGTGGCAGCCGGGGTGTTTGTTTTACTCGTCTTTATAATCTCGATGACATATCTAGCCTGGTAAGGAACCCAATTCTTTACAGTTAGTGTTCCTGTGTCGTCTTCGTTTCATTACCTGTGTTGCCTTTTATCAACGTTGAGTGATGTGATGGAGGTGAAAGAAAAAGGTCAGAGTTCATGAAAAAGCAAAGAGATGTCTGGGATTTGGTCGTGTAAATACGGATCGTTATCAGTTATTTATATGTATCCTTGAATTTAAATTCTCTATTTCCAAAAGTGGTAACAATTGACAAAAAATTCAGGTTCAGTCAAAACTCAGCTATTGTTATTCAGTCACATCACACTAATGAAAGATTTATTTATTCACAGTTTTTACACTCAAACAGGGTGACAGCAACAATTGGGGTTTGAGGCAATAATGAGTGAAAATGCTGCCACCAGCGTTGATTTCACAGTCAATCATTTCCAGTCCCTCACGAAGCAACCAAAGCTCTCAGTTTATCATTTTGCTTTATATTCTAAACTGGGACAATGCAATCCTTCAAAATCAGTGGAAGTTCTACAGCCTGTAGCTCTATTTTGGACTAAAGCAATGGTTCCTGGTTCAATAGCCCATTAAAAACAAACACAAGTAATCCGAACAACAACTGTTCAGTTTTCAGTTTTTTTATGTTATTTATGCAACAGTTCAGAAATAAATGTTGTTTAAAGGTGATAGTGAAAAGTTTAACTCCTCTCAGTCAGTAGGTGGTGCTTGCATCCACCAGCTCTAGTTCTATACTGTTTGCCCTCTGACTGCTAATGTCTGCCATTAGCAAATGTTGAACTAAGCTTTCAGCAGTAACCTCCATGGGGCTCCTGAGCCCCTCTGATTCTTCAACACCAACACTCAAAAGCTCAACCGGTGTTCCACCTCATTTTGAGTTTTTGTTTTTGTTTTTCAGTTTAAATCTGAAGAAACAGCTCAATCTGAATCAACACTAAAGCCACCATGGAAGTGGGTCAGTAGTCAGCCATGATAAATGTATATTAAACGACGCAGACATAAGAGTAGACCCTGCATTGACTGTCGCGGCGCAGGAATTACGGTCGCCATCTTGGGGAGGTAGACCTGCTCCTCTAACCTGCTGCTTCAAGCAAAACAGAAGAAAGAAGCTTCAGCACTGCAGCATATTTTTGTTTAAATCAACAGACTGTTGACACCAGGGCTCCAAGGATAAATTCATGAAGGCATCAGAACACAGCAGATATGCACTACATAGAATAGAAAGTCCCTTTATTGTCCCACAGTGGGTAAATTGTGCTGTTACGTCAGCAAAAGATTACAGTGAAACAGGTCACAAAAATGTGCATAGAAATAATAGAATAACCCTAATCCTAGTTTAAAAAAAATCTGATCTAATTTTATTTAAGCCCTTAAAAACAACCAGAGCTGAACAAAAGGCTGTAAGGACAAAAAAATAACAAATAAATAACAAACAAAACGGCTAAAAAAATAGCATTCACATAAAATATAAATATATCTAAAAACATAAACAAATAAAATACCGTACTGTAGAGTTTTTACAAATATAAACACAGTGCATCTGCAAAATAGAAAATCAATATACAGCTGTGAACATTTTTACAATATAGTTATATAGAGACACACAAACACACATATATCTATATATAGATATACACTAACCGGCCACTTTATTAGGTACCCCATGCTAGTAACGGGTTGGACCCCCTTTTGCCTTCAGAACTGCCTCAATTCTTGGTGGCATAGATTCAACAAGGTGCTGGAAGCATTCCTCAGGGAGTTTGGTCCATATTGACATGATGGCATCACACAGTTGCCGCAGATTTGTCGGCTGCACATCCATGATGCGAATCTCCCGTTCCACCACATCCTAAAGATGCTCTATTGGATTGAGATCTGGTGACTGTGGAGGCCATTTGAGTACAGTGAACTCATTGTCATGTTCAAGAAACCAGTCTGAGATGATTCCAGCTTTATGACATGGCGCATTATCCTGCTGAAAGTAGCCATCAGAAGTTGGGTACATTGCGGTCATAAAGGGATGGACATGGTCAGCAACAATACTCAGGTAGGCTGTGGCGTTGCAACGATGCTCAATTGGTACCAAGGGGCCCAAAGAGTGCCAAGAAAATATTCCCCACACCATGACACCACCACCACCAGCCTGAACCGTTGATACAAGGCAGGATGGATCCATGCTTTCATGTTGTAGACACCAAATTCTGACCCTACCATCCGAATGTCGCAGCAGAAATCGAGACTCATCAGACCAGGCAACGTTTTTCCAATCTTCTATTGTCCAATTTCCATGAGCTTGTGCAAATTGTAGCCTCAGTTTCCTGTTCTTAGCTGAAAGGAGTGGCACCCGGTGTGGTCTTCTGCTGCTGTAGCCCATCTGCCTCAAAGTTCCACGTACTGTGCGTTCAGAGATGCTCTTCTGCCCACCTTGGTTGTAACGGGTGGTTATTTGAGTCACTGTTGCCCTTCTATCAGCTCCAACCAGTCTGGCCATTCTCCTCTGACCTCTGGCATCAACAAGGCATTTCCGCCCACAGAACTGCCGCTCACTGGATGTTTTTTCTTTTTCGGACCATTCTCTGTAAACCCTAGAGATGGTTGTGCGTGAAAATCCCAGTAGATCAGCAGTTTCTGAAATACTCAGACCAGCCCTTCTGGCACCAACAATCATGCCACCTTCAAAGTCACTCAAATCACCTTTCTTCCCCATACTGATGCTCGCTTTGAACTGCAGGAGATTGTCTTGACCATGTCTACATGCCTAAATGCACTGAGTTGCCGCCATGTGATTGGCTGCTTAGAAATTAAGTGTTAATGAGCAGTTGGACAGGTGTACCTAATAAAGTGGCCGGTGAGTGTATATAGATATATGTGTATCTCTGTGTCAGTGCTCATAGGTGAAAGCAATCAATGCGGAGTCTACTCTTATATTTTGTCTGTATTACGATATATTCGATATATTAGGCCTATGGACGCTGACTTAATTTGGTGGCCCCAACTCGGAGCGGTCGACAGCTCCGCTCCATGTAATGTGCAGGAACAGAATCCATTTTAATGGACATTAACTCACTGAATATCGGACTAATTTTCACGTTTTTGGCGGAGGTTTTTTTTCTGAAAAGAAACGAATGGTTCGGTTTATTTAAATGTTCTCAGTAATGATGTCCAGAGGGCAGAAGGCTGTATGGATTCAGCACAAAAAATCAAGACTTTTATTCTTCAGCGCTCTAGATGTTCTGTTGATGTATGATTTTTGAAAATCAGTCTTTAGGGTTCCAAAAAATTTACTATTTTAATCCTTTCAAAATAAAAACAAAAGCATCTTTAATCGAAGCTCCTGTGTGGCTTTAATAATCATGAAAAAAATAACGAAAACTTGGAACTTCATTGTGGAAAAGTGTTTGTATTTACCCAAACTTTTCCCTCTTGAAAATCTGAATTTCAGAATAAGATGATTTTCCCTCACAGCAACATTAGCATGAAAGTTAGCAGAAATAACCTACAGCTTAAAGCTATGAGAACTGAAAACTTCCTCAGTAATGTTAAAAATGTAAACCACCTTGGTTGGTTAATACTAATTTAAAATTAGTTTCCATATATTTAACATTAAAGGTTTTAGTTTTTCAGCCCTATAAACAAAAAGTTGTTATTTTAAACAGTCTTCTGACTGTCCAAAGATCTTTAAGGGACTTTTTGTTTGTCATTTTCTCCTAGCTGACCACCATCAGTGTATGGCTGACTGAGAGAGTGATAAATGAGCACAGGCTGTTTAGCATTTCTTCTAATAACTCAGACTCTGCATCGAACTTTGTTACATTTTCTGTTTTTAATAGATTAAGTTAAAGAAAAAAAGGGGGAATCCATGATGAAGACGAGCCCATTAATCTTTCAGCCCTTCTGTTACTGAATGATTAATACGTCAGAGTTCAGCAGGTTTAACAGAGAAAAAAAATTCCTCTCAAAACGTTCTAAAGTTTGAAAATAATAGACGCACCAAACGCCCTCAGAAAGACACAACGGCCTGTGAAACATTGATAAAGACGCACTGATTATAAGAAAAGTTAAAGAGAGAAAGAAATGACTGAAGAAGTTTATATGTAAACCGCAATAAGAACCGATCTATTTTTAAAATGGTTCATGAAGGTTTGGAGCTCTTATGTTTCATCAAATATTTCAGCATAAGTTAGTAAAGAGTCTTTCAGAGTGGATTGTTTGAGTAAATTCCCATGAATGTGTTTTGTGTTGTATGTTGTAGCTTCAGATCTTATATTACAGAGCTATGACTGCAATACATGTTTAAATTTAACCTTTAGGATTGTAAAAATAAACTTTTTTTATGAGAAACGTTGCATTTGAAGTCTTGTAGGAAACCCTGTTAAACAGTTTCAGTTTTTAAAATAATCGTAAAGCGGTCAACACTCAGGAATCCGACTTTAGCAGGTTAAAAAGTCTGTTTTTTAGTGTTCGGCCTTTTTCTCAAACCTGCTGGAAAATCAGGAGTTTGAAAGTTGCTTGTTTTTTCTGTGTTTATTTTTCCTTGAAAGAAATGAAATGAAAAATGGAGAACAGATAAGCAGATCATGGCTTGTCTACAGTGAAAAGAAGGACTGGGTTATTTACTTTGGCCTTTTTGGAAACACAGGAAGGAGCAATCAGCTAAGTGAGCTTAGTGCTTGGAAAAAATCTTTCATTCCTTTAGAGACAGCATGAAAAGTCAGCTGAGTACAAAACATAGAGAGGAAAACAAGAAGAAAAGGGACAAGAAGAGAGGGACACAACCTAGAACAGATAATGGATGTCTATTCTATTCACATTTCTACGTCTGGAGAATGGGTCTGTTCTATGTGTTGTCTGTCTTTGCCTAGGGCCCCACATTTCCTAAATCCAGCCCTGCCTATGCCAATATTCAGCCCTAATTGGGTTAGAGACCAGGAAACCATGGGAACGAACCATGGCTAACTGCTAATGCTGCTAACGCCAAATCCACATGAACATGTTTACACACAGTCTTGTTTGTAGCCTCACCAGAAAAAACAAAAATAAGGACAGGAATCTATCTCATTGTTTATTCATCAAAAACGATAATTTAAAGACGGAGGATTGTAGATTTAAAATGCAGCTATGGCGTTTAATGTCTGACTCAATCTAATAAACTAAATCTAGACAACTCAAGGACTTCAACTCCATCACATCACTGCTCATTTCCATCCATTCATTTCTTTTTCTTTGAAACTTCTCATCATTTGTCCCATTTTGTTTATTTTCCTTTCTGTCCCTCATCTCTCCATCCCGCTGTGTTCAGTCATTGTGGTCGTTGCCTTTGCCACAAGCCGAGGTCCGATTCCCCCTCAGATGGGGCTTACTGGACGGATCCCAGCACCTATACAGTGCCATACACCTGCCCTGCCTGCCAGAAACTAGAACAGGCTGAGTTTAACCGGCAGCAGCAGCAGCAGCAGCATCAGTGTGCTGCTTCGCTCCAGCAGCCTCCATCCTCACCGCAGCAGGCGCTGCCACCGCCTCACGTTGAAACTCTTATCACTTAGTGTGTGCCTCAGCCAGCTCCTGTTCAATCCCTGATTGAACAGTATGTGCCTTAACACAGAACACCTTTTGCCTCCAAGCGGATCACATCCTGTGATGAGGTGAGCAGAACAGCACTGTTCACATGCTGTAACTGACTGTAGGGTTTCCTCATCATATCAAAAACACAGACTCTTTAGTGGTACGAGATTTATTGCAGAGAAACTTTTACAATAATTCATAAATGCCAATTTATTTAGGTTTAATAGTAAGTTAAGAGGAAATAATTTAAATTCAGTTAATTTATATAGTTCCAATTCACAACACATGTAATCTGGAGTAGCTGGTGAAAATTCTCTGTCATCCAGGTCCTAGTCATTCCAAAAAAGGTTAAAAAAAAGTAAAAAAAAACAAAAAACACTGGACTTTGTTTTCCAAGTTGGAAATCTCAAGGCACTTTCCAGAGACAATTCAACCAGATCATCCAGTCAATCAAAGGGTTCTATCTGAGGAAAACCAGCTGATTGCATCGACTCATTCAATCAAATACAATCCCTCAAACTAAGCATGGTTGTAGTGACAGTGGAGAGGAAAAACTCCCTTTAAATAGGAAGAAACCTCCAGCAGAACCAGGCTCATGAAGACATGGAGCCCTTAGTTCAGTCCCAAACAGGCTCCTCAGAGCACAGGTACTCGCGTAAAACCTTACTCTGCAAATGTTCTGCTCTCTAACCACTGCGCTGCCCTGAGACTCTGTCACTTCTTCACTACTGTAACAACTAGGGATGCACGATATAATCGGCCCCCTATCGGTATCAGCCTTAAAACTGAATATCGGACATCGGCCACCCCACCAATATTTAACCCGATATTTGATCAGCTTCTGAGTTTCTAAAGTCTAAAAAAAAAAAAAATACTACTTCTTCTTCTTCCTCAAAAACTTCTTTTTTACAGACTTAAAAACTTCTAAAGACGAGGGAAAAAATATTGATCCATTAAAATATCCCAATATCTTCCTATGCTGATATATTGCCATTTAAAAACACCATATCAATCTCTTTTACTAATGAAATATTGCTATATGTCATCGTTATGCTACGAAATCCCCCGAAAATTCACCAAATGTTGCCATATTTTTATATATTGATATATTGACGCGGCATCGATCTATTTTACTAACAAAATCTCACAAGAATTTGCAAAATATCACGAGAGTTTGTAACAGAACGATGAAATTTCACCAGATTTTGAAAGTAAAATAGATCGATACCGTGTTTTTAAAAATCTATTTGATATCAGCATATGAAAATATATTTGAGTATATTATTTTTCAAAGTGTCAGAAATGGATAACAAAACTGCTATTTTCAATGACTACTTATTTTTGTCCAGCTTTAACATCGGTATCGATATCGGTTATCGGCTACATGAGTTTTAAAATATCGGATATCGGCCAAAAACCCAATATCGTGCATCCCTAGTTACAATCTCACTTTTCTTGACAGAACCTCTTTAGCAGCAATTCTTACTGTTAGAACTTGGAAATTAGAAGAACACTGAGACTGACTCAAAACCCAACTCCCAAAGCTGGTTTCTCCTCACTTCAGAACAAAAGCATGAAAGTTAGTAGAAATAACCACCAACTCCAAGCTATATACTGGAAAGAGATTGAAATCTCAATAAGTCATTTTTTTCTTAAAATTAGTGCATGTTTTCTCTAATTGAGGAGGAAATTGAGACACTTTGCCAATGAAACATGACAATTTATATTTAAAAGAAGAGAAATGCAATTGCATTGTCTTATTTCAGGTAGAGATGTCCCGATCCAGGTTTTTGCACTTCCGATCCGATACCGATATTGTTTTTGGACTTCTGATACCGATACTGGCCGATACCAGCCTATCCGAGCATGTGTTTAAGTTTAATTTAAAGTATTTAGACTTAGTTGTAAGACTCATGTTGAAAAGGGTTTTAGTACTCTTGATAACATCTAGCCAGCTGAATTAGGTGAGATTGAATAAAACACAATGATTGGTAACAACAAACTTACCTGTTTATTAAGAGATAAACACAAACTGGACAAAATTATGAAAAGCAATCTAATATTGCACAGTGAACAGTAAAACCGTAAACAGTTGAAGGTGCAAGTATTACTGTAAGTTTTAATAAAAATGCAAAACAGACAAGAGTGGAAAATAGTCTATTAACTTAGAATCAGGACTCTACTCTTGAAAAAAGACACTGCTTAAAAAAAAATCAGTGCAAATAACAGTGAACTATTACACAAAAATGCCTTATACTCCCCAATGCCCTCACACCTAGTCTCCATCTACACATCGTGCAGGATAAAATAATCCCACACAGCTGACATTTTCCCCGCTATCTTCCAATTCACCTGTTTTAATGGCTGTAGGCCGGGAGACAGACCCAAAAAGACCTGTGGGTGTTTTGAAGGTGTTCTGGAAAATACGGACCGGATTCGGGGAACACTGGCTCAAAATAGTGGAATGGATCGTTTCAATCGGCGAAACTGTAAAATACGGACCGGTTTTTTTTTTTTTTACTGGATCGGCATTTTTACATGCTTTGCCGATACGCATTTTTTGGCCAATATCGGCGTCCGATCCGATACGTGGATCGGATCGGGACAAGCCTAATTTCAGGTGCATATTTTCTAATTATCTTGTTTTTAAGAGTAAAAAAAAAACTAATTTCATCGGCAAATCATCTTATTTACCTGTTCAAATTCAGGGTAAATAAACTTTATAATTTAAGAGATTTTTACTTATTTCTGGATCGTTCTTGCAGTGTGACAATTAGTGATGCTTAATGAGGCACCTTGAAGCCAAACTCTGTTGATACTGTCTCACAGAATACTGACACCTGCTGGACATTTAAAGACATTACAGGGAGCTGATTGGACAGACTGAACTGAATTGATTCGATTACCTAGTACAATGGTATCATTTAAATTGTAGGTTATATTGTATTATTTCATATCTATGTTTAAATTGAAAATATCTTAGATATTTTCGGAAATGTTTTTATTTTATAAAGTTGTATTTTGTTTTTCCATGGATCATAGAGTGTCGAGGCAGAGATGGATCTATTGCTTGTTTTTTTTCTCCCCAGCATTGGATGATGATGTTTTTTCATCCAGTCTCCTTAGTCAAAAGAAAGGAAAACAAAGAAGCATCAAACATGTCAACAAGTGCCAACAACAACAACGTTTGGTCAAGAAATTAACAGAGTTCAAAATGATTAAAACCATAAATCTTTTTTTGAGCTAAAAACTTATGGAGGAGGAGCACTGATCTCTATTCATTCACTGGATTGCTGATTGCACGGGATTGAAGGGAAGCAGCCGGCCGCCATATTGGTACTCCCTAGTAAGACTTGCACTACAGCATCGAACAACGATGATGTTCTCATTTTCAGGGGGACTTAAGACTTTTAAAACAAAGATAATTTCATCACTTTGACACAGACTGGCTGTTTCATAGTGTAAGCAGATTACTTTAACTAAAAAAAGTAGGCCAATCACAATGCTGATGAATGCTTAATGAATTCTGTAATATAACATATTATACAAATCCATCACAATAAAATGAATGTGTTAATGGAGCAAAATAATATAGATGCGGCAAAAGTTCTAAATTGATGATGTACATATAATTTACATGTATTTTAGCAACCATCGGAACGTCTAAACAATGTTTGTTGTTGTTTTTCAAACCTGCAGTAAAAAGCCAAAGAAGCCACAGCGACGGCAGATGAACAACAGACTGAAGCCTCTGACTCTGGCCTACGATGGAGACGCCGACATGTAGATGTCTTCCTCCTCCCAGACGTACGATCAAAACTCGGAGAGCAGGGTGGCTGTTGGTCCCCATCTAACGTCAGGGTCCCTGCAGGGCAATGGGTCGGCCAATACGCGGACTGAAAACATAACCTCTGAGCTTAAGACACTTAAGGTCTTATTTATTAGCAGCCTTGATGTTCCTTCGTTTCCATTTTGAAATCTGTACATTGTTTTTTTTACGAGCCTTCATGACCTCTCTATCTTCCTCTGGAAGTCTGCCTTTGCTTCTTCAACGTCTACCAATGACTGCATTTCAACCACATTCATTGGAGAGGGAGAATTAAGAAGAGATTTTAATGTAAAAGCACAAAAACTCCTCATTAGTTGATGATTTTCTTGCAGCTTAGTCGCATGGTCTTTGCTCCACTCGTCCCTCAATGATCAATAAGTCTTTTTCTCATCGCTGTAAGGAGGAAACGGAATAAAAAAAATATAAAAAAAAGACCAAATAAAGGAAATGAAAGTGAGTCTAAAGGACCCTGGAGCTGCCATCACTTCTGCCTGCCCCTCCCTTCTTGTTTCTGGGCATAATTTTGCACTATATTAGTGCAGCATGATATGTACTTATGTCTCGCTTTGCCATACGAAAACTGCCTCTCGATACAAGACGCTGTACAACCCTTGTACCAGAAATGTAAAATAAAAACAGACCTTTTTGCTAACAGAACTGAACAATGTTTGATAACTATTTGTTTTTGTATTACTTCTTGTATGTAATCAAATTTTGTATATAGATTTTCTCTGTGATTTCAGCTTTGGCTTTTTAATACGCATCTTTATCCAAATCTCTGCTGGAACCGTTTGATCTGTTAACTGTGACCTCTGACCCACTGACAGCCAAAAACTCCCACATATAGAGTAAAAAACATCACACTTTGACTTGAGTCTTAGAGAAATAATCTGTGACATAAACTTCATCAGACAGGGAAGAAAAAATAGAAGGATTTCCATTTCATGCTGTTTTGTAACCAGATTGGCTTCAGATGCAAACAGAAGGAATGGGAGAAAAAAACAAAGCAAAGGCGGAAATTGATTGAAATCCCAGTAAGTTAAAAATCTGGGAACTATGCGGTTCTGTAAACTTCCCATCCAGATCTACAGATTTTCAACCATTAATCCAAAATATTCTGATTGCATTCGACAAGACGGCAAAAACTGATCTGCAAAAAACTAGAAATTTCTCAGAATATGTCTGTTTGCTTTAATTTAAGCATATAAATATCACACTTGAAATATTATATAATAGTTTTTTCTCATTTTAATTGCAAATTATTCTGTTGGCAAATTGTTTTATTTACCTTTTTAAATAAATAAAATGAGATAAAGGACCCAGCGTTGACTTTCTAAGGCAGGAGTCGAGCTGATGAGTCTGTTTGAGCTTGAATGGAGGTTTTCTAATGTTTCTTCTCTCTGATTGGTTTTCTGTCGTCAGATCAGCATACCTTTAGTCAATATGCATGAACAAGACGTCAGATTTGCATTTATCCCTTTAGTTTTGTACGGAAAATAGACTTTAAACTACCTCGATGGGCGAATATACCTTTAGTCATGTACACAAAAACCAAACGATTTAGGTCAGATCACCTTACACTTCAAAAAACAATAAAAAAGTAATAAATTAAACCGTTTTTTGTACATTACTAAGGGGATGCATTCCCGTTGAGGTAGTTTAAAGTTTATTTTTCGTACAAAACTAAAGGGGTAAACAGATATTGACTCTGGTTCTACTGGTCTGACCGTATGAAATGCAAATACTTCTAAATTCTTCCCTGAATTTATGGTTTTAATCAGGTTTGCATTTTAGTTTGATTTTTTATGAAGTGAATTTTGTTCCATTATTGTTGCAAACAAACTACATGTGTTGTAAATGTAAAATTGAAAAAACTACAATCCAGAAATGAAACTTTGAAAAATAATATATATATATATATATATATATATATATATATATATATATATATATATATATATATATATATATATATATACTTTGACAGTAACTCTCTGATTAAATTTTTTTTATTTAGGTTTTATTTTTAAACTTTTTCTTACAGATTTTATATTTTTAGATTTTTTGTTTTTATTTTACGGGTTTTTTACATTTATTTTACCTAAATAAATGTAAATAAAGCTCAATATAAAGAATACAAATAAACAAAATGTCATGTCAAATCTGTAAAAAAAAGTTTAACATTTTTAATATACATTTTTATTTAAGAAATAAAAAAATTGGCAAAATCTGAGAAAGCAGAAACTTACTCTGAAAAACGACTATTGTTTAAAACGTTTTTCAAAGTTTCATTCCTGGATTGCATTTTTATTTTAATTTCTATTTACTAAATGGATTCTTTCAAAAGAAAAAAACGGTTGAAAAAAATCCAAACTCCAGTTTTTTCTTTGTCATATAGGTTTGATTTCACGTCACTAAAGAGGAAATGTTCCTTTAAACGTGCAACTGGCTTTACAGGACTCTGACCCAATGCTTTTATCCATACCCATCTGCATATTTAAAATCTCACATCCTTTAAAATATCCGTCTTTTTATTGACTGACTGCATTTTAAAGACGTAGAAGTTTACAGTACCCATGAACACAGTGGATAGACGACTGAGGCTCGGTTAGCAGGGTCTGAAAAGGTTGATATTCCTGAAGGAGTTCCAGTCTTTCTTAATGCAGCTACTTTTTAAAGGTGTTTTACTCTAAAAATAATGTTTGCTATTATGGGTGTATGATGGGTTATTATCATATTTATTGTTTAGAAAATCAGAAATAATTAACTCATTTATTTCATCACATCCTTCAGATTTTATTTTATATTTACTCTCCTTTCAAAAGGACCGTACCCTTAAATTAGTCTTAAATGTAGTTTCTGAAGGTCGTCCCCTGCTGCTCACCCCCCCCAAGATGAAAGGTTTGGTATTTATTGGATTTAATGAGTCATTTGGAGGCATTTCAATGATCTGTGGAATTTGTTGATTGAATGTTTAACTTATTTTCTCAGCATATGATTTGTAAATAATGTTTTTTTTATATATTTAATCCTATTTATTGTTAATGTACCATAACAGTTCTTTTTTTTTTTTTTTTTTTTTTACTGCACGACATGTTCACAAAAAAGACAAATGAAAGAAAACACAGGAGGAGTGAATGTGGTGTAAAAGTGAACAAGCTACCTTGTAAAAAGTTGCTTCTCTGTTTCCTACTGTTTCTTTATATGTATTTGATTAACTGCTGATAATAAACAACGATAATTCTTCTCTTATCTCTGAGCTGGATTCAGTCAAACATAAGTTATTCATTTTATCGCTGGTTTTAAACAGAGGGGACGCCTAAGGCTAGCGTAGCCTGACAGTTCGCTTCTTCTTCAGATTCATTTACTGATCAGTCAGGAAAGCAAACAATCAGGCGGCAGGTCAGGAAGCACAGATCGGCTGACTCCAGCTGATTAGAATACATACAAAAGACAATTACAATCAGAAAAAAAGTCATTTCAGCAAAACAAAAAAATAATTGAAAAATCCCTTATAAGAAAAAAAACAGCATTTTCATCTACTGCTTCCTTGGATTGAAGATTATTAGTTTAAAACTTTTACTGCAAACATTGTAAATGAATGAATATTTTTATCTACCCCAGAACTAAAAAAAAATAGAAATATATCCTGGCCGTATGGGAGTTCAAACGTATAAACTTAAGCAGCCATGGACGAAGTACTCCAAAGTAGTACTGGAGTAAAAGTATTGATACTCATAGTCAAATCTTACTCAATTCAATTAATTTCTATAGCGCCAATTCACAACACGTCATCTCAACACTTTCCAGTTCACCAGATCATCCAGTCAGATTGATTCAAGGTTTTCTATCTAAGGAAAACCAGCTGATTGCATCGACTCATTGACTCTTCAGCAATCCCTCACACTAAGCATGCTTGTAGCGACAGTGGAGAGGAAAAACTCCCTTTGAACAGGAAGAAACCTCCAGCAGAACCAGGCTCAGTGTGAGCGGCCATCTGCTGAGGCCCACTGGGGTTCAAGGAGACAGAAGCAGACATAGAAAAAGAAGCATAGATACAAAAGGCAACTGTCAACCAGCTCCACAGGCGGCCCCGTCCAGGAAACACACAGCCAGGCAGACGAGCTCCGAGCCAGCTCCCATGTCAGAGGATGAAGAGAGCACATCCAGTTAGTCACAGTCAGAGAAACGGGACTACACTGGAAAACAGGCCGAGCTCCAGCATCTAGAAACAAAGCACAAACTCAACTACAAGTATAAGTTAATCATTGAAACATCTACACAATACAAAGTATTGAAGTATTCACTTTTGAAAATACTTAAGTATTCAAAAGTACATGCATTTAAAAGTACTTAAACATTCAGAAATACAAATGACATTTTCTAATATTAAATTTCTGTTTAATTTTCATAGTAATTTTAAAGAACCTGTGAGTTTTAGAAACCACCTGATGTAATGTTGCATAGAACCACCTGCTATAGATTCTACACCACCTGGAAAGAACTTCAGCATAGAACTTCAGCGAAAAAGAAGGACAATTATTTGGGAAATTATTTCTTATCTAAAAACAAACCAAAAAGAAAACAGGAGATTCTCCTCACACTTTTACTATGGAATGGAGGTTTATGGTTGAATTTATTACCACAAAGAAACTATAACTCTTAGAACTCATCTTACTGAACAACTTGGTCACATGGCAACAAATAAAATTATAAAGTACTAATAATATCTGCTCTGAGTTTCTCACATTTGCGGACCGTCAGTAAATCTCTAAAACAGTGGCGTCCAGATTCAGTCCTAAGGGCTGCTATCTGCCACATGGACATTACATTTCAAGAAAGACAAACAGCAGATTACAGCAGATTACAAGCTAAACTGAGTCAGAAGGAGCTAAACTAGCAGCTTCCTGAGTCTCATTTAAATCTCTATCTGCCTTTTCCTCACTTAAAGCCAAAGACAGCTGTGTTTTATCATGTTTTGGTGATTTTCTTCTTCTTATTCCAACATTATCTGTCTCTTACAGACGTATGTTTCAATCTGACTCCTGCTGGAACTTCACCAAAAGTTAAATGCAGCGTCATGCTGTGAAATCTGCTGTATCCACAATGAAAACACTTCCAATAAACTGAAATAAATAGACATTTGAAAGTGTGTTTTGTGTCTGCTGTTTTCTCTCCAGTGCCATGGAAAAAAAAAAAAAAAACAGTTTTTAGTTACACTTTGATTCATGTCGTTCTGTTTTCCAGCTAATTGGTTTCATTTCCATTTTGTGTCATTCTAGTTTTGTTCTAGCCTGGTGAGACCATCCTGATCTCGCGAGCTTTCAAGGTTTCACTCGCAGATCAGTCTGGAGACTCTCCGTTAAAGAAAATTTGGAGCCGTTCACCAAACGAACGTCCAATCAGCGTTGGCTTTGAGGCGGGTTGAGGTGTGACGCAACGAGAAGCGCGACAGTTCAGTCTAAAGAACATGGCGGCTTCAGCCGATGAAACTAGCGTTAGCGTGGCTATCGAGCAAGTTTTATTGGAATTACAGAGTATTTCTTCACTGAAAGAAGAGCAAAACACTGCTCTGGAGGCTTTTCTCAGAGGAAAAGATGTTTTTGCTCTTCTCCCGACTGGTTTTGGCAAGAGTAGCCTGGCTTGTGGTTGTGTTTTCGTCGTCGCTCTGTTAGTACGTCATATGCTACGTTGATCTGATTGGTTTATTTGGCCCGTCTATCACCAACATAGACCAATCAGCTAACCAGTATTTTCGCCCCTTCCCAAAATTACTTTAACGGAAGGTTTCCAGATGGATATGCGGTCTACCTAGACTGGATCCTTCAAAGTCCTTGAAAATAAGGAGACCGGAAGAGTTTTGGCTGTAAATTCGAACAGGTCCACCCTGTTATGCTCTGTTGCTTAGCAACCGTGAAAGTAGACA